ATGAATGAGGCCCTTCTAGAGACGCAGTCCCTTCAACATAGTTATGTTTAAATATAAAATATAATGAAAAATAAAACATTTATCTTTTTCATTTTTCAGCGAACCCGATCTACCTCCCCCTTCCCTACTTTTCTACGAGCTAAATCAGGAAATTTAAACAAATACACACTTTTGTTGTTTTAATAAATTTTTTTTTCATTTTTAAACAAAGCATTCTAATTGATTTCTATCTTTTTTCTTGCTATTGAATAAATCAAAAACATGTTCAGGGGCGTATTCAGTAATTTGCTCAGGGAGCTTTTTTCAGCTCTGAAACCCTCATGAAAACCTTAAATTTCACTGATCCAGGGAGGGGGTGGGGGCCGGGGAGGGTGAACTCCAATAGGGTTTCCATTCTCCAAAAAAAAAATGCTTAAAAGTTTGCAAATAAAATTGCGCAGATATCGCTCAGAAAATATGGTTATTTCGTGGAAACCATAATTCCAGTAAAATGTTCGGGGTCCAATATAGCTCAAGGTCAAAAATTTTTTTTTTCTGTGTAAGACGGTTTCCTCCCCCACCTGTTTTTCCCCCCTCCATACACACATTTTAAAGGGAGTGTTCGCGAAAAATGAAAGGGGGTATAGGCTTAATGCGATAAAAAAGCGCTTTTGATCCTCATAGACGCAACAGATAGAAGTAAGATTAGTAGCGATCAGAAGCGCTTTTTTATCGCATTAAGCCTATACCCCCTTTCATTTTTCTCGAACACTCCCTTTAAGTACGATCAATTTTATTGTTCTCGCGTAAAAAAGAAAAAAATATTAATAGATATAACAAAGAAAAAGTTCAAAACGTCAAGTTTCCTGTAAAAACGTGTATTTATATAAGTAGAAAGACTGCAAAATAAACCGGATGTGTGCGATGTACCGGCGAAACCAGGCAAAGCTATTGTCACCCTAACTAATTTACAAAGGTAAACAATATTGTAAGATAAAATAAAGCTAGAGATTGGGATCGTATTATGAAAGAGCTCTTTATCAAAAATGTTCGTAAATCAGCGTTATGATCGAAATAAGGGAAATTTTGAATATATATGAAATAAGATTTTTTTACAAATGTAATCGACATTCGCACTATAATTTAAATTTTTTTAATAAAATGCCTATTTTCTAATGAGCTGGCCTTGAAAAGTTGGACTATAACGGACATTTATCACACTCTAAAGGCGAAATCATGGGGGGGGGGGGAAGGCGGAAAACGACCCCCGGCCCTTTCATATTAGACAAAAAAGCGAATATGCGAAAATTTTACTTTCAGTGGGAAACCCAGTGGCAACTGTGTTACAGATTCTATTTATCTAGGTAACATTTTTCATTTTAAAGGGCTTGGTTTTAAACAAGGATAAAACTATTTGGTCAAATTCACCTTGCTTCAGTTCTAAAGTTTTCTTTGAAACAGTTCAAAAAGATTTGAGATTTTTTTTCTCATTCAGATTTTTGTTTTTTTTTCCTGTAAATTAAACAAAACACTAATGTAAGCCAGAACAAAAATCCTCAAAATAAATATCAAAATATCCGTGTGAGTTCAGAAACGTTAAAATCGTAAAAATATCTTGAAAATGAATCAAGTTATTAGCAAAAAAACGGGTGTAGAAAACTTATTTTTTTTTTAACTTTTGAATTTTTGAAATTTTGAAAAAAGGAAAAATGAACGGTATATTAGCGGTTCATAGACGTATATCTTCTGATACGCATTTAAAAAGAATTTTGAAATAAATCGACCTTACCGTGTGAGCTTTTTAAAAAAATAATTTTTTACTGAATTAGTTACATTTTTTTCCTTTATACATGTGATCAATGATTGCTTATAGTTATTGCTATACTGTATAATTTTTGCTGGTGCAAAAAGGATTTGACAGTTTCATCATTAAGTTAAACAGGGTAAGAGACCTTCTTTCCGATACACGGTTACAGTACGGTTCATTTTAACCCTATCACGATTGAGGGGGGGGGGGGTCCACCCACCCCCCTGTGGTTTATTCTGAATAACTTAAAAACTGCTTTCATTAGAACACTAAAACTTTTTTACTTTTCAACAAATTAGTTGTAAACAAATTTTGCGGGTCTGAGCTGTACAGTACGCATACAGAATACAGATAATACCAGGCAAAACGGGTCGGTACACCAAATGAATGAGGCCCTTCTAGAGACATTCATGTGGAAATGTAACTAAACAGCTTATACAGTAAATTCTGACTAGCTGTCAAAACTCTATGCACTGAAATAATCCAATTTTTCAGAAAATCCACTTTTTAACGTTTTTTCCAGAGATTTTAACGAATTTTATCAAAGATCTGCAGTTAATACATTTTAAAATACAAACTCCAGGTATCCAAGCAACAATGAAAATTTAAATTTGTACACATTTGATTAACTTTAGCAATTTTAGACTGGAGGCCGCCTGATCATGATGGAGGACGGCGAATCCTGGGTTATATTGTGGAAATGTATGATCTACCTACAGGAAACTGGATTACTGTCACAGAAACAGAAGGTAGGATTTTACAAAATACATGCTTTTGCTAAATAACTAAACTATACTCATGCTAAAAGTCTTGTATTGCACCTGTTTTTTGGCAAACCCTGTCAATTATAAAATGCGATATCCAGAGAAAAGAGTATTAGTTTGTACACTTTTATATTGTTTAATGTAATTTTGCTTTAGACAAATATAAATGATGAATACATATGCTACATTGTAAATGGTAGGCGCTTCTAAAAAGGACCTTATATATGAAGGAAATTGACTTTAAAGAGTCAATTTAAATTCGAACACGGGAAAAAACTGCTCAATATTTTCTTTTCTTTAAAACTGGTGCAATAGATCTATTTGGATAGCAAGAATTTAAAAATTCGATTTGGATTTCCAAATTTTTGAAAAATCAAATTTGCAACATTTTGAGGATTCTATCGAAAGAACCTAATCGCGAAATTACAAAGAATTTCCTACAGAAATTGTAGTCCAATTCTTGTCGATCGTGTCTTAAAATGTTTTCATAACATGTCAAAACAAACAAGAATTTTTGCGGCGTTTTTAAATGAAAAACATTTTATTTGCAGAAAAAGGTTTTTATATTAAGAAGCATAAAAATCCCAATCTTATTATTAAGGAAATCAGTGTAGATCTGTTCTCGACAATATTCTTTGTGGAATTATGTACAGGTACATAAAATATTCTATGGGAAATTAGAATATTCGATGTGAAATTATGTAATAGGTACATTAAAATAAAATTTTAGGTTTCGAATCCGAGCATTCAATGAAGTGGGGAGCTCGGTTCCTGGAATACCTTCAGATTCTTTTGTAATAGATACCCCTGGCGTTCATATAGCTCCTTATTTCATCCTTTGTCCCCCTAATGAGGTAAAAATATAAATTCCTTATTTCATTATTTGTCCCCCTAATAAGGTAAAAATATTGTTCCTTATTTCATTCTTTTCCCCCTAATGAGCTATGAATATAGTTCCTTATTTCATTCTTATTTCCCCTAATGAGGTAGAAATATATAGTTCCTTATTTCTTTATTTATCCCCCTAATGAGCTATGAATATAGTTCCTTATTTCATTCTTATTTCCCCTAATGAGGTAGAAATATATAGTTCCTTATTTCATTCTTTTTCCCCCTAATGAGGTAAACATATAGTTCCTTACTTCATTCTTTGTCCCCGAAATAAGGTAAAAATATATAGTTCCTTATTTCATTCTTTTTCTCCCTTATGAGCTAAAAATATAGTTCCTTATTTCATTCTTTTTTCCCTTAATGAGGTAGAAATATAGTTCCTTATTCAATTCTTCTTTGTCCCCCTAAGAGCTAAAAATATTTTTTTCTTCGTTCATTTTTCGTTCCCCCTAATAAGTAATAAGATACAAATATAATTCCTCATAACATTCTTTATTCGAAAGAAAACAAAAAGATAAAAGCATAATATCTGTAAATCTGTTTTAAAGGGGTTTCTAAATATTTATTACTTCTGGACCCAATTATGGTCGATTAGTAATTTTTAAAATTTTCTAGTTTCCTACCTCGACCGTCCTTTTTTGGGAACCCCTCAGATTAAAAAAGAATTTTTTTACAAAATTTTTTCGGAATTATTAAAAATGCTGCTTTTAAGGCTAAATATTTTATAATGTTAAAAAAAAGCAAATACGTTTCCTTCAGGTTTCAAAGCTTGTTCATGACACAGTACAATTCCGGGCTAAAGCGTTGGGCACACCAACCCCCAATATTCTGTGGCAGAAGGATGATGAACCTATTTTTGTTACACAGGTTAGCGCAGCTTTTCTTAAGATTGCGAGAAAAAAAATGTGCAGGACAAAAACAAGGACAAAATTGGTTGAATGGGTTAAAAACTCCCCTCTTTAAAATACAACAAGGCCGGAATGTTTCATTTTTTTAACCCACAAATTCTACTAAATTGAGAGAGATAGGAACTTCCTAAATTTGATTTTAATCAAAATTATTCAAAGGTGTAAATTTTTTTTATTTAGAAAAAGATGATTTGGAAAAAATTAAAGATTTGACATTAAAAAGCGATTTTTTCATTCTTTTTGATATTTTTTATCCAAAAAATCATTTAGTTTTCAAACGTCTGATAGTAAAGGGAAATATACACCCCTGAAACGTTTTTCTGACCTACCAATTACCATTTACCTCATCCCTTGGGTTGTATGATTTGTTCAGTAATTTTAACGTTAGAAAGCAGAAACCCAAGCCAAGCATAAAGAAAAGTTAATTATAGGGGATTGATATAGAATCTGAACCGGATGGGAGTACACTGACAGTACACAATCTACAGCTGGAGGATGACGGGGTGATTGAGTGCATAGCAGTAAACCACGTGGGGAAAGCAATATCTTCAACCCGGCTCTGTGTAGTTTGTCCTCCTAAGTTTAAAACCGGGAACATACCTTCACAGTTTACTTTTAGAGTTGAGGATATGATCAGGTACTGTTTTATTAAATCAATTTTTTATAATTTCAGTTAGACCCATAAAACTGTAAAATAGGATGATAACCGTTGTAGACAATTTATGATTTGAAAATGAACATGAAACGCACCAGTTGTTTCATAATTTAACTTAATTTTCAAGCTTCTGGTTAAACTGTATTTCTCTATAACAACATCAAATATAGATAATAATGTTTAAATGTCGTCTTCCTATTCCACAATTTGATGGGTCTCACTGTAAGAACACTTGTTAGGTTAAAACTCCCAATTGAGGCTCAGCCTGATCCGTTGTTAACATTACTGAAGGATGAAATTGTTCAAGATAACTTCCATTGTCGAGCAATACTTAGGGATAGAGTTCAGCATTGTTTTTTATCCATTTTTCAACAATTTTTTATTCGTTTTTCATCGCTATTCTTCCATTTTTCAACAATTTTTCATTAGTTTTTCATCCATCTTTTCTTTTATTTATCCATTTTGCTTCCATATTCCCTCCGTTTTTTATGCATTTTTTTTCTGAATTCTTAAATCATTGAGGATTTTAGGAAACTTACATGATTCAAAATTTTATTTTGTTCAAGTTAGTTTTTATGGTATTTTGCAAAATGTTGACTATGAGTTATGATATTAAGATATAAGCCAGACCGAAGCAAACCCAATGTTATGAAAACAATCAATTTGAATAATCGTCAATGCTTCTATCTTTTGTCAGAGTCTAGATTTTCGATCAGTGATTTCGTAAAATCAAACAACAGAAAATAAAATTTTGAATTACGTAAAAATTGGTAGATTTCTCCTACTGAAAGCCAAAATCCCCGAAATATTAAAAAAGGATAAAACGATATTTAACTCTTCTTAGGGATAACAATGTGATTGTCAAGATTAACAGTGCAAAGGTATACTTTAAAAACTGTAGAATATCAAGTGTTCTCATTGTATAATATTTTATAATATGGCATGTCCGATTTATAATGGTAACTTTTCTTTTAATTCTATAAATGTAAAAGTGAGGAATTCAAAAAACAATTTTTTTAGTGCTGCAAATAAAAACACAAAAAAAATATTAAAATTTCATCATGAGGATACCATTGGAAATCAGACATCTTGCTCTAGAAATAGAGGGTCAATTGAAATCAGACATCTTGCTCTATAAATGGAAGGTCAATTAAAATATCGTCCCTTAAAATCTTATTTTATTTGTAGGAAACAGATTCTGGAGAGTATCGAATAGAAGCGGACAACGGGATGGCAATTGCTTCCTTCTCCTTCAGTATAAATGTTGAGGTGCCCCCTTCATCTCCTTCTATGCCTGATATTCTTGATGTGGCTCCAACAGGTATTCAGCAATATATATTTATATTTAGCCAAAGATTTATTCACACACAAAGATGTAAATACAAATATAAATGGTGTAGTTTAACTTTGTTGAAATAATTCAAATATGTTTTCGCCATATCTCTTTTTCGAAAATCTCATTCAGCCAGTGAAAATGGGGACAAACACGAAAATTTCGCGAACATTTTTGCAATTTCGATGAAAATCCGATTTTTTGCAAAAATTTTGAATTTAGGTTGAACATCATAATTTTTTCGTAGCAATTTTCGAAAAACCATTTTCGCGAAATATCCTTATTATAATAAAATATTAACAGATTTAAATTGTTCGTTAAAAATTAACGAAATTTTTGTTTATTTATACAATTGATGATATATTGTTCTAGGAGAGCTAACTTTAGCTTGGCAACCCCCTGATTGTGCAGTAGATCACTATATTGTAGAATACTATAGAGATCAGTGGCAGCTTTGGCTTAGGTAAAAAACTTTTTATAATTAATTAAAAAATTATAATCTTACCTAGCTTTTAGGGGTGCTTCGTGCCCCTTCAGTAGGAAGAATTTTGCCCGCCATTTTTTCATCGTTCAAAACAAAATTTTGTGAATTTTTTTGTTTAAATTGGTGGATTTTCGAAAGAATTGTAACTGTTGACTTTTTAACAGGCAAATGTTTTTCTAAGTAAACTATCTGTTAATCTTTCTTGGGGTCGTGTGAGTTGCCACAAAAATTTTGGCCTGATCGGTTCATCCTTTAGGGCGTTATTGGATATAAACGGAAAGAATGGCACCAAAACCAAACAAACAAGCAAAATATTAATAAAAATCTATATAATAGAACAAAACAAGAAATTCGTATATAAATATGTTTCCTATAGCCGGTTAAACAGCTGGACCAAATGGGCTGAACATTTTTGGGGACACTCAGTGGTGGCCGTGGGGGTGTTTTAGGCTAAAAAAAAAATTTCCCATGGGCAACGCCGGGCTCTTCAGCAAGTATAGAAAAAAAAGTAATTTTTGAGTTATAAATTGTACAGTTAAACAAACTTATTTAGAATGAAGACATGTCTTGATACAGTAACAGTGATAACAGATTTGATTCCAGGTTTGTTTATTATTTCAAAGCTTTAGACAATATAGCTTAGCTTTAAACGTCTGTATTACAAATCCATTCAGAATGCACTATGCCACTGATCCTTTTCTTTTGAAGTTTAAAGGACTTGATTTCCAAGGAATGATGGTTGATCTTTTATTTATTTATTTATTTATTTATTTTGAAGTTTAAAGGACTAAGTTAATTCTTTCGACATTAAAACAAAATATTAATCAAAATTTTAATAAGGGGAGCAGTTCAGGAAGTGACATTATCCCAAATTTGTAGGGTCCTATCATACCTGGAACAAATATGTACCCTTTATGATTTAAAATCGCATCAAAAAGCTCGAGGTTCTGTGATTTTACCCCTTTTTCTTATAAACATTTCTGCCTTTTCTTACTTTAATGAATGCTAGCATCAAAGATAATATATATATATATAGATATGCAGGCAGGTATAAATTTTGAGGTCTTGAGAAAAGGTGCAAACAGCACCATCTCTGTCGTACGCATGGCATTTTATCCTCTGGATTGTTGCTAATTTATCACTTTGTTTATGCGTGATAACACTAAATGCGTACTATAGTATCAACAATGTATACTGCATATTGTACTTAATGAAACAAATTAATCAATGCAAATAAAACTGAGGTAGGAATTTGACTAGACGAAGTTTAAATGTGTAAGTTGTACTGAATGGCATAGGTAAATTAACGCAATTTAAATAAAAATTATGACTATAAAAGTACATCGAGTCTAGGACAAATTACAACTGATCTGATCATAACATAAGCAAAACGCCTACTGTATGTTTGTGTTACCTTGAAATTTAATTTTATTGGTCAAACAGGTCCAGATAGCAACACTTGAACTATACAGGATGCAATACGCGTACTGTATGTTTATATAACACAAATGCGTATTTCCTACATATGGCAGTAAGGGGAGAAAGTACTATAGAAAGTAATCAATTTGCTATAGATGTCTCTCCTTGCACCTTCTATCAGAGGTTCAAAAATTAGTTGTCTGCTACCTGCCTGCATATCTAAATATATATTATCTTTGGCTAGCATTAAGGAGGTAAATAAAGTTTTATACTGCAGCTGTAAATGTTGATATGTATACTTTGCTTTCAGATGAAAATAGATATATTCTAATTGTAACTATTATATAATTGCCACGGGGAAGTTCCAGCTAGAATAACTTAAAGAAATGGCTAGCAGAAGGCTATTTCAATAAAGCTATATGAATTATCGGAAAAGCTAAAAGAGGTTCTGTAATAAGAGTTTAATGCCTTCATACATCAATGTACAATAAAATCAAGAAAACTGTAAGAAAAAGAAAAAAAATTTCTGAAGAAATGTAACTAAGGATTATGTGACTTGCAATTGTTGCAAATGTTACAAAATAAAAAGAAAAAGTAGATGAAAATTCCCTGTTTTCTTGTTATTTTTTATTTTTTGCTCAATCTTTTAGCATTTTCTCTACAATAAAACAATAATAACAATTTTTGCGGATTTATAATTATTTTTTGGTGGATGTTCAACTTGAATTTTCTAATTTTGAGCATCCATAAACCTTACCTGTGGTCATGTGAGGTCCAATAAAAATTTGGGTTCGGTCGATTAAGCCGTTTTGACGTTTATTGGTTACAAACAAACAAACAAAAAAGTAGACAAGTAAGTATGCTTTAGTATTTCTGGAATAAAATATGAAATATTTAATGGCCTAGGTCCAATTATACTTGTTTAGGAAGTAAATATAAGTTCCGAATAATGTCTGCTAGTATTTCTGGAATAAAATATAAAATATGTAATAGTAAATTTTCCCATTTACTTCTCTAGGAAGTAAATATAAGTTCCGAATAATGGCTGCTAGTATTTCTGGAATAAGTGAAGCATCACCGGAAAGTGAAGAAATTATGATTGGTGAGTTAATTTATATTTTTTTTTAATTATGCTTAAATAAAAAAATCTTGTTTCTTTTGTAAAATTAACATGATATGGCTTTTAATTTAATATAACTAAATTTATATTTCAAAAAACTTCTTTTTTAGTTAACAAAATTTTAATTAAAACAATTAAAGTTTTTTTGCCTATATTAATTTTTATATAGTGATTAAATGAGAATTAGTAAAGCTAGATTGATTGAAAAATTAAGAAATTTTGACAAGAAATATTTACCCATTTACCCCCCTATTATAATTTCAGGAAAAGTAGCTGAGGATGAACTGTTTGACCTACCAGCTAGAGGTCGGCCTACCAGACAAATCAAGAAAATGAGAAAAATTCCATCTTTTGACCGAGCTTCTCTTGACAGGAATTTTACATAAAAAATTAGAATAAATCTCCGATATTAAAAAAATTTGTTGTGAAGATCTTTTTAACATAAAAAACAACTATTATGCAAGGTTGCCCACAAAGAATGAGACATCTGTACGGAATTTATTAAATCTTTTTTATTGTTCCAATAATGGTTCCCTTCAACTGCAGTAAACTAGGTTTTTCTAATCTAGTCAAATCTTCTAATATACTTTTTTGTAAGGCAGAACCCTTAGTTTAACTCTCAAGTCAGTGTAACCAAAGAGTTTCAGGTTTTTAAATCCCACAATAAAACAAGGAAATCTGCGAAATATTTAAATTTTGTAAAGTCAAAGTAATAAACAGAAAAGACTGTTACAAACATTTCTATTATGTAAAATTTTACAGAAGTATTGCTTCAAGAGAAGTTATCCATCCAGAAAGGAGACATACTTCACTTGACAGGAATCATGATTAAAAAACAAACTAAAATGAAAGTGATTAAAAAACCTAAGAAACAGTCCATATTTTTAGAAAGTCTAAGACTCAGACTTTCTAATCCTTATATCTTTGAACTTCATGGTGTAAACCTTTTATATTCCAGACTTAGATTATGGGTTGTAAAGATACAAGGATAAGAAAGTTTGAGTTTTGACACAAACCCAAATTTTCTAATCCTTATATCTTGGCATGTTGTTTTAGTGTATAAACCTTTGATATTTCAAACTCTAGATTATTTGGTTTATGGTAAAGACTCAATTTTTGTTGGTGAAACAATTTATGGCGTACTTTTTTTAAAACATGAGTAAAGTAATTATTTTTTATTTAAATTTTTTTTTGTGTTGTAATTAATCATGAATACATAGAGAGGTTTATTACGATGCTAACAATGTACGCCGCGATGTTGTAACCTACAACAAGCCACCAGAACTAGACAGGCTCGGGTTCCTAGCTAACAAATATGAGTTGTCTAACGAAGAAATAGCAAAATACAGGAAAATAAAACAAAATAAAGAAAATATATTAATAAATAATGAATTCAAGCGACCGTAGACGTAATTTCAAGAGAAAAAAGAGAAAATGTAACACTTTAAGATAGAAAAACAAAGATATCTTTCTCATTGTTTCGCAGATAAAGGTGTAAAGTTACCTTTGTGAATCAGGCATGCAATTACCTAGACAGTCCCTTTAAGTAATATGAATTAGACCTAGCTCTTTGTTAAGTGGCTGCAGTTCCAAAGTTTAAAATTATATTCTGATTTTCTAATTTCTTTGGCCAAAAGTTATTTTGTTTTGAACCAGAATGAGTATGTCTCAACTTTGTCACAAGATGAAAGCAATCTCGAATTCAAGTATAGGTATGATTTTAGAAGCAATATCAATGATTATGAATTATTTTAGATTTTAAGTTTTAATTCCATTTTGATATCTAGCTTAACAATATTTGTAGTTTATGAAATTTCTAAAATGAACAAAAAAAAGTTTAAAATATTTTCTTGGTTGATACAATTTTATATTTTATATTAATCTATCTATCCACAATTGTGAGATCAGAAAAGGGCTTAAAATCTCTTAATCAACAAAAGAGATTCATGTTTGGGAGCAATTGTAATTCAACAACTCAGGAACATGAAGTCGACTTGTACACTCAAGTTATGACTTTAAATAATCAAATGAGTTTGAGATTCAACAATTGTGCAATGTAAACAGACCCAATTCACTTAATAAGTGTTTTAATAACTTACTAGTAAAGATTTTTAATGTAACAACATAAAATGCAATTTAGTTTTGCTTTAATGTCGTCTTCCTATTCTACAGTTTTCTGGTTATCATTGTAATTCCTATTTGTCTCTTTTGTTCCGGATTTAGGGATGCCCATATTTTCCGGATTTAAATACTAAATGATGCGCATTTTTCAGGTGTCCGAAGTGGTTCTAAGATAAGTTTGGATACTGCCACTAAACCTCTACAGATGGAAATATCAAACCAAGCAAGGTATTTCATCTATATATAAATTTGTCTGTCTGTCTGTTTGTTTGTTTGTAGCCAATAAACGTCAAAACGGCTGAACCAATCGGGCCCAAATTTTTTGTGGGACATCACGTGACCACAGGGAAGGTTTATGAATGATAAAAATTTTAAAAAAATGTGTTTTAAAGGTTTTAAATTTTGTAAAAAAAATTTAATTCTTGAAAATCCGCGATTTTTTTTAAAATCCGCAAAAAAATTTTCCTTTGTTTTAAAATGTAAACAAAAAGAACATGTTCACAATTTATAGAAGAATAGAAGATGGGTGCGAAGCGCCCTAAAAGCCTAGTCTTATAAAAATCATTTGAAAAGATTCAAATGTCAAAGTTTTACACCATTAGCTTGCAAAGATATTTAAAATCAAAACTTACGGCGAGTGATATCAGTGATTCTTAAAGTTGACTAATTTCCATGAAATGGATTTCGAAGAATGTTTGTAAAAATGCCTGGCCATATATCGAGAATGAGACAAAAATTGCATTGTGGAAATTTAATGAAAGCCTTTTATAGCATTAAATTATAAAAACTAAAGCTCAAAAAGCAAAAAGTCGCTAGTTCAAAACTAGGCCGCTGAAATATATTTGTAATTTAAAAAATCAATGTTTTTATCTTTGAAACAATATAATGTATGATTTTTGCTTGCTTTTTTGAATTGACGCAGCCAATTCAAATGTAAATAATGTTGGGGTTTTCAAAATGTTTGTTTTAACTACTCCCTTTGGAGTTGAGTCTTTGCTGCAATCTCTGATTTTATAATCCCTTTTCAACCCAATATCTTTATAGACCTTAGATATTTTAAACTATGATTTCGTGTTAGATAAAATAATTTAAGTTTGAAATATCAAAGGTTTACACTATTAGGTTCAAAGATAAAGGAACAAAGACTCAATTCCTTTGTTCTTTTTCCGATAGATTGTATATGAACAAATCATCTCTATATAGGAAATGCAATGGATGAAAATAAAAAATTTAGATCTTTAAAACACTTTTAAAAGACAATTATATTTAGGAAATCGAATTCTATGGGTCAGCTTTGCTCTGTTCCTGGAATACCGCAGCATCAATCCAAATCCGTTTCTTCCAACTATCTTGACAGAAAAACAAATATTTTAGGAAAATTAAATTCAGATAAAAATTCCTATTAAACTTGGAAAAGTTTTCAATGTATTTGAAATCAATTTGACAATTTTAAGATGACTTGATTTAAGAAATTGAGTTTTTGCCACTAACTCTGATTTTCTCATCCCATATATCTTTGCGACTAAATTTCATTGACATCAGATATCTCAAACTATACATTCTGTTAGATCAAATAATCTTAGTTTGAAATATCAAAAGTTTGTACCATCTGAGCTGAAGATTTTTTGAAAATTAAAAATCCGCGAATATGATGGGAACTTTAGAATAGAATATCTATAATCCCGATCGGTTAATTAATCTGGAGATTAATACCAAGAGGAGAACAAGCATTATTTAATCTGAGCTGAAAACTTTAGAATGGTGGATATTGAGATTAATGACTGATCCTCTCTTTTTCTTAATATCGAGACTATCCTAATCCTGAGCTGAAAACTTTAGAATGGTGGATATTGAGATTAATGACTGATCCTCTCTTTTTCTTAATATCGAGACTATCCTAATCCTGAGCTGAAAACTTTAGAATGGTGGATATCGGGATTAAGGCTTGATCCTCTCTTTTTGATAATCTCTAGATTAACATAATCTTGCAAGATTATCTTAAAAGTGTATGAAAAACGATAAAATTCAAATTAATATTTAATCATCTGAGAAACTGTAGCAACCAATCAGAGAAAAGCGGGCAACCAATGAAAGAACAGAAATATTCTCATTGGAGAAAACATTTAACGGATATCCAAGGAGAGAGAAAAAGAGTGGATTAGGACTAAAATGAAAAGTTTCCACAATGGATATTCGGATCAAGAAGTCAGGATTAAAGTTTATCCATTCTAAAGTTCCAAGCTCTGAAATTATATCCTGAAAAGTGTATTAAATTCAACCAATCAGAGTCGCATATATGAAGCCAATAAATTTGAAATTTTGCGCGCCATTTAAGATTATATAAAGAAACGGGAGAGACTCTCTAAATTTAAAAAACCGGTTTTTGTTTTTTCTATACTATAGCAAAGAAAGAACGGTTTAAGAAGAAATCAAAAGTGTTGCCATTGGATACTCAGATTAAGCAATTGGGATTAAGGGTATCTCATTCTAAAGTTTTCAGCTATGGAGATTAAGAAAAAGAGGAGATCAAGCATTAATCATTCAAAGGTTCCCAGCTCAGGTTTCATAGATCTAGGAATTAGAAAATTTGAGTTTGTGACAAAGACTCAATTGTTAAGAAGGTTACTTACATGAGAATTATTTAATGAAAGTATCCAATTGATTGATGAATTTACAGAAATTTATCAAAACATCCCGTAGATTTAATGTTTTATTTCGCATACCCAATTTAAACTCTGTTTTTTAAATATGTCAAACCAGCGTTTATTGATTAACGTCTAAAGATAAACCTTTTAAAGTTTTTGAAATTAACATTTTTAAAGTCTAAAAATCTCCGTTATCGAGGTCTTAAAACTAAGCATTTTAAAGTCTTGAAAGTTTAGAAAAAAGGAAAATAAACTTTTAAAGTTTAAGATTAATATAATTGTAAATGAATGATATTTTTCAAGACAAAGGTTTGCACCCATCAGAAAGAACTGGATTAAGCAACAACATCGGAGACTGTAAGAAGAGTTTATCAGATATCCAGGATAGAATTGGATCTCTTCAGGCAAGCTTTAAAAATCCGGAATCGCGGCATTTGCATGAAAGTGACGTGCACTTGCCGCGGTGAAGCACAGGCTCTCTCTCTGTCTTGTAAGTCAACGCGGCATGCGCACGTTAATTCCTTGGGCTCCTGCCTCTTTCTGGTGCGGGAAATTCAAATCTGACACTAAACTAAAATCCGGGAAATATAACAAAATCGAACCGCGCTACATTTTAGACACAGGAATTTTAAGTCTGAAAATAAATCTAAAATTCGAAAAATCAAAAAACGTGAACTCTCATAACCAGGACCCTAAACCCTATGTTTATATACAGTTAAGATTATATACAGTGGTCGTCGTATACATAAATACAATGAAGACGACTTTCGATTTTGATTTTAGAAAATTCGTTTTCATTGTATTGATATAAACGCCAACCACTCTTTAAGCGTTTCTTTTCTCAGGCCCTGCTCAAAACAAGTAGATCTCTAACCTCTAGTAAGCAAAGTTTGTTTGCAGATCTTCCAACATTTGCCATTCCTAAGCTCGAATCAAGGTAAAAAGATTGTAACTTACTATTATAAGCATACTTGATACTTAGTTCAAAGATATGCAATGCCTGATTTAAAACGATTCCCTTGAAACCGTTATCTGATCAAAAATGTGGAAGAAGATATTGTCGTTTTTCTTGGTTTAAAAGTGTTTAATTCTGATAATTTATATTGATTTTCCTGCAGTAAAAATGTGCAATTGTCTTTTTTTTTGTAGAAAACCCACAATTAAAAATAATTAGTTTTCTAAATTATAAACGTTGATATCTAGTTTATACTTGATCAGAGACAAAGCTTTAAAGTGTACCGTTGTTAATCGGGCAATGCTTTCTCTGCATGGAGGGTCACTTGAAACTACGCTTACAGTCCCTTTAACCATCAACTTTCCAATTTTACATGGTTGTAACATTTTTTCTTCTTCTCTTGTTCAGAAAAATTGAAAAAGTAGTTGCAGACAAGACTTTCAAAACTCACAGAAATAACTCCTATGCAAATGCAATCGAAGGGGATCCGGTTGTAGAACTATCATATCAGGTATTAAAGTGGGACTCATAAAACTGTACAATAAGAAAACGACATTTAAGCAATCTTATGTATATTATGTGTTGTTATAAAGCTTCTTTTAAATTGACATATGATCATTATAATGTGAAATGGGTCTGTGTACACTGTACAAGAACTGTGCAATGATCTTGGATAGTTAAAAAATATAAAACTAAAATTTACATTAGTCGTTTTCATATTCTACAGTTTTGCGAGTCTCCCTGTAGACGTGTCATATTTTTCTGTTCAAACTTGAAAGAAATATTGAAATGAAATGCACTTTTTTTATAAAGTTAGCTAAAGCTAAAAAGGGTGAACATTTTTGAGAAAACCTATGGGTATCCTTGTTTTTTTTTAGTTTCACTGGCACTTCAGCTGAGTCAAAAAAAAGTGTGATTTGCGGCGCCTGTTGCAAAATTGTACCTTTTTTGTGCAACTCTCCTGTTTGGTGTTTCTTCAATATTTTTTGAAAATTTGTAATTTTTTTTTGGTACTCCAATGGCCCAAAAGAAAATCCGTGAATATTTTTTCTCTCAAAATCAAAAGTTCAGAAAAGCAAAAATGTATATTCATATTATTTCTCTCTAAATCTAAAATGTTATTTAGATTGAATCAAAGAATCCCAGAAAATTGGCGAAATTGTAATAAGAAAATTCGCAATTTTCAGTTCTGGTCTAATTTTTACGGAAAAGTTATTCAAATTCTCAAGTTCCTTTCTTCTTATTATATTCTAAAGTATTAAATATATGCTGTTCAGTTGAAACCTTAAGAACCATAGACAAATAATTTTTCCGTAAAAATTATACTAGAACTGAAAATTACGAATTTTCTTATTACAATTTTGCCAATTTTCTGAGATTCTGTGATTCAATCTGTTTAAAATTTTAGATTTCGATAGAAACAATTTATGTACACATTTTTGTGTTTCTGAACTTTTGATTTTGAGAGAAAAAAAGGTTCGCTTTTCACTTTTTTTTGACTCACCCTGTATATATATATATATAAGCAAAGAACTTTATTTTATAGAGATATTCGAACTGATTGAGCAGTACATAAGAAAACTGAAGAATACGTTTGATGTAAACAAAAATAGTCCATGGTATCTTACATAATTTTGCAAATAAAAAAGCTTGCAATAAAACAAAAATGTAGCAAAAAACAGAATGAATTCTGTATATATATATATACACATATATCGTCTATCAAATCTTATTTTTTGTGGATAATCCTGTACTATTTGAAGGAAACCCAAAGGGGAAGGCCAAACTTTGGTTTATGATAAAATAGTCTTTTAATGACTTATTAAACAAGTTGGTAAATAAAAAAGAAAGTTTACAGCTGTAAGGAACTAAAAATATGTGACAAAAAAAGAATGAAATATGCATCATCGTCACTAAAAGTCTCATTCTTTGTGGGTAACCTTGACAATTTGTTTAGGAAACCCATTTTCCTTTTAACCCTGAACTGGCTTCCCTGGGTTCTCTAGAGTGTGATAAATTTCCACAGGAATGCGTTATAATAATAAATCAATATACAGTGAGAACCGGAAAATTGTGGAAAAGGAAAACGCGACGAAACTTAGACTCAAGTGAGGAATTTAAATGTCCGCCAAAAACCGGTTTCAATTGAGCGCCGGCTTAAATCTTGAAATAACAAATACGATTTAAGTGGAACCATCCATATTTGAGCCGCGGCTCAAATTCTTTAAATTCAGCCTCAATAATTCAACTTAATAAGTTATTTTTAAGATATGTAATCAAACACAATTTGTTTTGTAAAATAACTATAGCTTTGATGTCGTCTTCCTTTAAAACCCTTCTTTTAAGTATTTATAATCATTATGAAATCAGAAGAACGATGTCTCAAATCGGAACTCACTTTTTCTAACGGAATGCGAGGAAGAAGTGACAGTTACAGAGACAGCTGAAGCACCCTTAGAACATAACACTGATGATAACAGAACACTTTCTGAGGTTCTTAACAATAACAATAATAAAAACAATAACTTTGATCAAAGTTTTGATATATCGGAAGTTTCATATTCATCCCGCACACTGCTTTATGAAGATTCAAGCTCCAATACGAACATTATAGGAAAACACATTAGTTAAAAAATAAAACATTATATCAAACTCTTTGTATAACAGTTTTGATGTCTAAAAACAAAAAGCGGATTAGAGATCATTGGTATTAGTTTAAAGACACCCTTTATGTTTTAAAAGTAAAAGAACACTTGTCTCAAACTCTAATTTTCTAATTCTTTCATTCTGATTTGTAACCTTATGTTGAAGAACGTTAATAATTCAAACTGTTTACCCAGAGATATTGATTTATCAAAAGAATTTTTGAAATGTCGTCTTGACAATTTTTCAATGGGTTTTATACTATACATACTACACTATATGTTCTAAATAAGCCGGAATAATATGATTTGATTGATAACTTCAAAGTTGTGTTTAACCTTAAAAAAGCTTGCGGGATTCAACAAAAGTAACTTGATTTTAGCAATTTTTTTTTGAAAAAAAAATCATAAAATAGCCATAATCCTGCGTTTTCCTATTTGTGGTCTGCTATTTTTTTGCTCTAAACATTGCCAGAAATATTAAGAATTTTGTTTAAATTTCAATTTATTAAGTAAAACCATTAACATGTCTCCTTCTGAACAAAAGCATTCATATCTCCGGTAATTATGACAGCACAAAATTGACAGACCACATTTTGGAAATGGCAGGACTAGGGCTAATATGTGATTGTTGCTTCATAAAAATATAATGATTAAACAGGTTATATATGTTGATTGCCGCAAACTATTTCTAGGGGGTCTAAGACGACTTTGAAGTTATCAATCAATTCATATTATTCCGGCTTATTTAGAACATCACTGTATTATACGTAAATTTCAGTAATTTCATAAATACATAAATAGCCATGAATATGCGGGAACAGTTCCATATAATCATTTAATTAAAAAAAAACTAAATATCTGCAGCATTCCATTGTCATTAAGTAAGGAATAAGACATTTTTTAAGTTCTTCTGATGTCTCTTTTTACATTTTAACTTAACTGCAGACAAAAATTGGTTGCTAACATATTGCAAATTTGTATGAGAAAAGTAGAGTTTGAGGCAAGCTTTCAGTTCCTTTAAAGTTAATTATACAGTCATTAATTTGGACCCTTTTATGCAAATTAAAAAAAATGTGTTAATTTTGCAGATTACTCTTCCAGTTCTCAAACCCTGCTAGTAGATCCTAGGGAGTACTTACAAATATTACAAAAACAGATATTTTAAAACAGTGGCAAGTGATTATATCGATACAAGGAAGACGACTTTTTATTTTAATTTTGATTCATATCAAGCTGTTAAACAGCATGGATTTACATATACACATAGAAGTCAAGATGGCTAATTAAGAAAGTTTTTCTTTTATTACTTGTTCACTCGAAAATAGCTTGTTAACATCAAAGCTTAAAGAGAGTGACCGGCAAGTATGGTAACTGTTAAACTGAGAATGCAGTTTTGTAAAGAAATTTTAAAGTAAACTAATTGGATGTTCAGGAACATATTTCTCTAAAGAAATTTGTCAATACATCAATCTTAGAATCTATTATTTCTCTGTCATCATTTTATCGCAAATTTTCTTTAAATTCTTCAGATGTCGTCTTTTCAATAAAAATTGCAGGAAATCTACAGAAAATGTGTGTGAACTAATGACTGAATAAGATTATTTATTTTCGATGATAATAGTTAATTTTTATTTTATCAATTTGTTCCTAAACAACTTATTAGTTTACTGTCGAAAATTTGTTACATTTTTCGTGGTCGTCTTTGAATAATTAAAAAAAACGATTCACAAAATCATCTCTCCAAAATGGGCAATCTATGAGTATTTCAAAGATTGAATTTGCACTCTTGCTGAACCAATATGCAGAAAAAATGTCTGCTAGGTCTCAAATGAATCCTAAAAAATGACTCTACAATACGGCATTTTCAGTTCAACTACCATATACATTGCCGGTCACTCCCTTTAGATTAAAAAGTGTCCTCATTGTATTGATATAATCGACTACCATTGTATATTCATTTCTTCACTCTGTAAAATTGAGCTTACTTGTTTATAAAGCAAGTTTATGATTATGTTCTTTGCCAAATGGGAACACATATTTAGCATTTTTGTTCCTGGAAACATTTTGTAAGTGCTCTGATATTAGTTCCTCTTCTCAAACTGTACTTTGTGAGCGATCTCTTTCTTCTTGTTCACAAGGAACTTTTCAGCAAAAATATTTATTGTAAGGGTTACCCACAGAGGATGAGACTTTATAAAGACGAACAATAAAACTCGTAAAATAAGACGATCCCAAGGTTGAATTAAGTCTTCTGCCTTGAAAATAGTCTTTAATATTTTCACAAAGAAAAACAAGGTTTACAGTTGCAGGGAATCATGAATATTAGGAAAAAAAACAGTGTAAAATTCATACAATCGTTTCTGAAGTCTTGTCCTTTAAGTAGGAAACCCTCCTTGTTAGACAAATTTTATATTTTGTTACGAACACACAGCATAGGAATAGAGAGACGAAACTATTAGATAGTTTTTTATTTTATTTCATTAATTAGAATCCGGACATATTTCTATTTGAACATCTGCAAAAATGGCAAAAAGTTTGGGAATCTCAAATAATTATGTTTACTAAAATAAATTATTATTGTTTTTACGATTTAAAACTAGAGACTCAATTTGCTTATCTTTTGGAAACCTTAAATAATTTATCTTAGGAAAAATCTATTTTTTTTTCAAATCATGTTACAATCAGACAACTTCTGTGAAATTATTTTGTTGTGTTTATTGAAATTCTATTCAAATCAGCATTTAAATTTTTTTTTTAATCTAAATTTTTTTGAGGAATCTTTAAACTCCAAAACATTAAAAACAGATATATTTTTTAAGGAATTTTTTAGTTTTTTTATTGGAATTTCAATAAAATTACACCGTTTAAACAATTTTATTTAAATTTTGATGAAGAAGTTTAAAATTTAGGGACCTTGGTGTCTGATGGAGCCAGTATGAATTCAGACACAGAATAATTTTCTTAAGTTCTTTATGTACAACCAGCTGAAGTGCCCGGCGTTGTCCACCGAATTTTGAAACACTTGACATTTTTAAGAACTTGAAGGTTCTCTAAAAAGAATCAGTCAATTTATATCAATTATTTATATTTATAATTTCATCTTTATAATTTCATCTTCGATCATATATATATATATATATATATATATATATATATATATATATATATGTATTAGCTAGCTGGCCAAACGGCTGGACCAATCTGGACGACATTTTTTGAGGGAACCCAACGCCAGGCATTTAATTTAGTATAAATAATCTTATTTATACTAGATGAAGATTAATCACAATGATGATAAATCTGTGTAATAAATGTAGATATCTTTACTTTTCATCTAAAAAGAAGTAATATTGATTTTGAAATTTGCAATGGTTGCGACTAAATAATTTAGCTTAATATTTGGAGGAAACTCTTTTATAATTGGTTCCGTCTAAATTACAAAAATTACAAAATCAAAATTAAAAATAAGAAAACGACAAAAAAGGGCCTGTCTAGTCTACATTGCTTTCAAAATGAAAACAGGTCTTTTCTAAGTAATTCGAAATTTAAGTAAAACAAGTGAAATCCAACCTCGACACACCTTAAATGTACTAAAGCTGAGCTTAAAGATGTTTTATAGACTTAAAGGCATAAAAGACAACTTTTGATTGTTTCTCCATATTATCATTTTTTTTATTTTGAAATGTTTAGATAATGTAATAAAATTTCCAGTAAAAAATCGTCTTATTGGCTTACATCATAGTGAACAAAGATGTGGTATAGTTTAAAATAGTGTTTTATTTTGTAAAAGTTAAAGTTCCTTGTTAAATGCTCATATATTTATTTATTTGTGTTTTTTTTATGTTTATGAAAATCTCTTTTTTGAGACTTCGCGTATCTTAAACTAAAAATTTCGCGTATTTGTCTGTATTTTTAAAGGTCAAAATTATTTTCAAAATTTCTTCTTATCCTGGGATCATTTGACTTATCACAAAAAATGCCAGATCAGCTCAGCCGTTTTTGGATACAAATAATTGTACGAACAGGCAAGCCAAATTTATGTAGATATCAGGTTTCTGAGCTTACATATTTCAATCTCATCTACAAATATGTTAAACATAAATAATATATTTTTCAGACCAATCCGATATGCCCCATTTCCAAATACCTGAACAATAAGAACATTTTTTCATTTTTCATATTACACCAGTGGTCAAAACTTATTTGAGGGATGAGGGCTTGAGATTAAATTAAAAGTTATCCTTGCGACAAACCGACCAAGGAATTAATAAAATATGCATTAGCAACAAAAGATATGATAAATATGTTTTATTCAGGGATTAAAAACATAACATTTTTAACCTTTGTTATTTTTTCCAAACCCTTTATCGAAATATAATGCAAACCTTTAGAATATGCTGCAAACCTTTAGAATCTGCTGTGAACCTTTAGAATATGCTGCAAACCTTTAGAATCTGCTGTAAACCTTTAGAATATGCTGCAGACCTTTAGAATCTGCTGTGAACCTTTAGAATATGCTGCAAACCTTTAGAATCTGTTGTGAACCTTTAGAATATGCTGCAAACCTTTAGAATCTGTTGTAAACCTTTATAGAATATACTGCAAACTTTCAAAATATGCTCTAAACCTTTAGAATAAGCTGCAAGCAAACCTTTAAAATATGCCAAAAACCTTATGTTACAAACCTTTAGTATATGCTTTAAACCTTTAAAATTTGCTGCAATCCTTTAGAATATGCTTCAAACCTTTAGAGTGTGTTGCAAACCTTTGGAATATGCTACAAACCTTTAGAATATGCTGCAAACCTTCAGAATCTGCTGCAAACCTTTAGAGTATGTTGCAAACCTTTAGAGTATGCTGCAAACAGCTGATCTCTCTAGTCCACCACAACACTGGTTTTGAGCCACAGTTTCGACATTTGGTATTGCGGAACTTTCCTTAACAAATTATGATGTTTAAGTCTTATTTCATTTGTCAAATTTCTCTTTTTAAAGATGAGCGTTTATAGAGAATTAGTTAAACCACGCACTGAGATCAACTTAAGCCAGAAAAAGGAGTTGAATTCGATTTCAGCAGAACGCGCGAAAGGTAGCTGAACGTGTTATAGGTAGTTTAACTACTGATCTTGTGCAGCTATTGATACCTCGATCTTGCCACTATTCACAGGAGCTGCTTCATTCTCGAGCGCTTCTTTTTTTCCCGACGTTTCTTCTGCCTCTGTGGTATTATTGTTGTTTTTGTCACCTGAAAGTGTCAAACCATAAATCCATAATAATATAGAAACAAATTCTGGTATGATGACAAAAAGGTGTCAGATTAATCAGATTCTGGTTTTTCCAAAACCAAAAAAAAATGTTGGTCAAAGCAGAATTTCACGTGACCCCTTAGCCAATATGACAATGCCTGATTCAATACGGTCCGCCTATAACCTTTATATTATCCATAATGTGGAAGATATTGTGGTTTTTCTGTGTTTCAAAATGTTTTACTCCGATAATTCCCACATCTTGTCCTGCAGTAGAAATGCGCGAGTCACTTTTGAAGAGAGCTCACAATTCAGTTTTCAAAATTACAAACATTGATATCTAATTCATCAAGGGTCACTTAAAATTACGCTTGTAGGGATTTTTTCACGAGCGATCGTTTTTAATAAACGATCGTTTTCTAAAACGATCCTTATTCGTTTTCTAAAGTTCAAAACGAGTGGGTCATTTTTAAAAACGATTGTTTTTTTCCAAAAACGAAACGATTGTTTTGAAAACGATTAAAAATCGAAACAAAAAACGATCGTTTAACGATCTTTTTTCAAAAACGAACAACAACCCTACTTACATGCAGTCCTTTTAAGAGTAAATCAGTGATCCTGTGAAAACTTACGAGCCCATGATTTAAAAGCTTCTACTAGAGTTTTTATTCCTTACACCCAGATATAAGTCTCAATCCTAGACCCAACTTATGAATCAGTTGACGATAGCTTGTGTCACATGGTAAACAGACGCAAGCTCTTTGGCTCCGCTGATGAAATCCTGCAATTCCAACAATTAAAATCCGCTAAATACAATAATAAACTGGCTTAATATATCCAACTCTAAGACCAATAAGTTGCAACTTAAATCCCAAAGCTGTAGTCTTAAATTAGTCTCAATGACAGCTCAGAACATTTTCTATTGTGAACCCAACCAAGGGTTCATCCATATTTACATAGTACCAAACAAATTCATTGCTCCCAGTTGAAGAAATAATGCCTAACAAATGCAACCTAAGAATAAAACCAAACAATTCAGATTATATCCAAAGGGGTATTGAACACCCAGTATGTTTGTAGCTTTAAATATAAAACAGTGTAGGCGGACAACGGTATTGAACCCCCTTTCTCATCTAGAGATACTAAGTCGGTCCCAATTAAAGAGCAGTTTAAAGGGCAGCTATAGGGTAAGATCAATGCTAGAGAAAGGACAGAAACGGCATTTATCTTCCCGACAAAGAAAGCAGATTGTCGGCCAAGAAAGCAGATCGTCAGCCATCGTATCCCTGGTTCACCAAGACTCACCAGTTAGCATGAAGCATCTGATCAGAAGAGTCAAATGAAAATATATTTGCCCCATCAAATGTCATGTGTATTTAGATCAACTTTAGTTGGTCCAACACTAATCCTTTGTATCCTTATAATGTAAAAATATAGTCTTTGTGCAACCATGCTTTGTTATTCCATTCAATCTTGGCTTTTTACTACTAAATTCTTTTCAAGTCTAGATAGTTTACCTCCAGATCCAGGATTAGCGTTCTTAGATGGTTCTGAAGGAGTTGCCTCAACCTCTTTAGTACGGGCTTCAGGAGCTTTTGCTGGCTCTTTGTTGGTAGCAGTAGCCGTCTTTTCTGCTTTCTCCTTTTTTTCCGCAGGTTTTTCTACTTTCGGCATTTCTTTATCGGTCGGCATTAATGCCTTTATAACAGCTTCCGGTAGACGTTTCCTGCCTTCTTTTTCGTTTAGGAAAAAACTCCTATAGCCACCAACTTTCTCCTTCAGTCCGGGATCATTCCGTTCCTCAACCTTTAAAGGGACTGTATGCATTTTAAATAACTTTCCATGCATAGATGCAAATTCCCAATTTAAAACGATACCCTTAAAAACCTAAATCTGTTCACAGTTACCGTATGTTTGTTCTAACGCTTAAAGCGCTTAATTTGTAAAATTATTCCATTGCTTCTCATAAGCAAGAAATGTGTAAGTCAATTTCGCAGAGAAACCGAAAATGAAAATAAACTGTTTAAAGAAACTAACACCTCATACTTATTCAGACAAAGTTTATAAGAGTACCGTTGTAAATCGGGTATTGCCATCTTTGCATGGAGGGTCTTTGAAATTACACTTACAGTCCATTAAGACGAGAAATGATCATTTCAATTTTTGCCAAAAAGTAAAAGTTAATTTGAATTAAAAAAACTCTTTAAATGATTACGGGGAGGGGGGCGATAGTTAATTTTCAATAAAATAAAACAAGACATTCGTATACATGTTTTTAGATTCCACGGGCAACGCCAGGCACTTCAGCTAGTACTTTATAAATCCTTCTGTTGACGAAAGGCTAACATAGTAATTGTTTGTTTTTTACAAATATCACACTAATTCATTTATTTCGTCCATAAATGAAATCATTTATGAAATCTCAAAAACTTCGTTTTATTAGAAAAACCTTATCCAGCCCCAAGCACATCGTTTTTAATGTACCTTATATTGCGCTGTGAGAGCTTTCTGACATGTTTCAGAAATATGTATTCTCATTGGTTTAGAATTGGATTCAAACTTCTCAGTCAGGCCAACATTTACTCCAAACAGACAATACCTAAACAATAAAGTATTTTTGAAGATCACCGTTTGTGCAGTTACATCTTCAATATTTTGAGAATAACATCAGATAAATGAGAAGAGTAGAAAAAACTCTTTCTTTATGCTTATTAAAAGACAAATGAACTTTCTCGTGGAAATTCTATTCCCGCATTTCCATATTTTTAAAATTCCGGATTTTTAGTGTTATAAGAATTCTTGCTGTAATTCTTTTTTATCTTGCGTTCTAATATACATTTAGGTTTTGAATTCCATGTCAGTAAATCATTTTGTGAAATTAGACTGCAGCAGGTTTATTGCTCTAAACTTAATTAAAATTTAATAACCTAAAATACATTCCGAAATTAATTACATATGTTATAAGTTACAGAAACAAAAACAAAAACAATGATATGGGTTTTTTAACAGAGAGGATGAAATTGTATTTTTAAAAAAAATAAAACCTTGGCATTTTTAAACCTACGACTCCGGCAATGACTGGACCAGAATGACATCCAATTCTCATTTCTATATCAGCACCTAGTTCAAACATTAAGTTAATTACACTTTAACTAATTAATCTCCAAGCTCTAGCTGGAAGAAGCGGAGTGGATTGAAAGAGTCTCCCTTCCTCTCCTCCCTTTTATATTTCCAAATATTCTCTCTTTGAGCTTTTGTAAATTTTACCATTTCGGAAATATTTTAATGATTTAAATTTACCTGTCCCAGGATCTTTCATCATTGATATTCCGTCCATCATATCAAATGCCATATCACATATCTGTTACAAAATGTTTTTTTTATTGTTGTATTTCTGACTTTTATAAAATTCTGATATTGTCATATGTTACATGTCATTTAAACTTATACCAGAGCAGCAGCAAATACCAAAAAGGAAAATTTTGCCATTTGTTAACTTGAACAATGAAATATATTGTTATTTTTTATTATTTTTACAATATGGGAATTTTTATTTTCAAATTTCTACAAAAAACAATATTGCAATACATGTTCTTAATACAGGTGATCACTTTTTCCAATATTCTTCTTTCCTGGGCATCTTTATTTACTTTATTATGTTGTATTTTCTGCATAGCCTCCCCCTTAAATGCGATTATGCAGTTCTGAACAAAGCATGTAAAGCAATTTGTTTATCTCATTAATTTTCTTCAAGTGTGTATATCGGTACACTGAATCCTTATCTGTATGTACTGGATATGGGTACACTGTATCCTTATCTGTATGTACTAAATATCGGTACACTGTATCCTTATCTGTATGTACTGGATATCGGTACACTGTATCCTTAAATGTGTGTACTGGATATCGGTACACTGTATCCTTATCTGTATGTACTGGATATCGGTACACTGTATCCTTATCTGTATGTACTGGATATCGGTACACTGTATCCTTATCTGTATGTACTGGATATCAGTATACAGAAATTAGTTTTTTCCTTGATCTGATTCAGCTGCATCATGTATTAGCGTCTACAACAATTTAGGGGGAAAAAATCAAGAAATTTCCGGGCCTTAACTGCAGGTCAGCCAGGTTCAATGTGATCTATGTAGGACAATCACTCCTGTGTCACAACGCTGATCCCTTTCAGAAAGTTTTGATTAAGCTACCACAGTTCCACTATATCTGCTCGTAAAGTAGGATAAAGTTGGTGGTTTAGGAAGTTTTAAAGGAGGAGTATTATCTCTCCGAGCTGTATGGGGGATAGAATAAATTATCCCGATATTACCTATTATCTGCACCTCATATACTAAACAAATATGAGGAGTTGTCCCTTTATACAAAGTGTCAATTCTTATACAATTGCACTGCAAGCTTACAAAGAACCCGCAATTAATATTTATCAATTTTCAGAAATAATAATATCATATTTTTTGTAATTCTCTTTAAACAAAGGACCACTTATTATTGGTAGTTTAGTCCAATTGTGGACAAACAAATTAATTTTTTTAAAAATAATTAATCAAAAATTAATTTCTTGAAGATAATTTACCCGCAATGCATGATTGTTGGCTTTAACTGGACATCCAGCCACAATAAGGTATGCATCTCCTATAGTCTCAACCTAAATACAATAAGGTATATAGTCTTAACCTAAATACAATAAGGTATGCATCTCCTATAGTCTCAACCTAAATGCAATAAGGTATGCATCTCCTATAGTCTCAACCTAAATACAATAAGGTATGCATCTCCTATAGTCTTAACCTAAATACAATAAGGTATGCATCTCCTATAGTCTCAACCTAAATGCAATAAGGTATGCATCTCCTATAGTCTCAACCTAAATATAATAAGGTATGCATCTCCTATAGTCTCAACCTAAATACAATAAGGTAGTCATCTCCTATAGTCTCAACCTAAATACAATAAGGAAGGTATCTCCTTTAGTCTCAACCTAAATACAATAAGGAAGGTATCTCCTATAGTCTCAACCTAAATACAATAAGGTATGCATCTCCTATAGTCTCAACCTAAATACAATAAGGTATGCATCTCCAATAGTCTCAACCTAAATACAATAAGGTATGCATCTCCTATAGTCTCAACCTAAATACAATAAGGTAGTCATCTACTATAGTCTCAACCTAAATACAATAAGGTAGTCATCTACTATAGTCTCAACCTAAATACACTAAGGTAGTCATTTTCTTTATCTGTATTTCAAAACATCTAGCAGCTAACAAATGCTTTGTAAAGCTTGATCAAATCTGTATGCATAAGTAACAATTTAGGACTTTAAGATTTAAAGATAAATTTGGAACTATAGAACTCATATTTATACTATTTTATAGCAAACATTTATTGCATATAGAAGTATACCTTATAAACAGCATTCTGGTCACAAAGGAAATCAAACAGGGTGTACATATTGTTTAAAAGGGCAACAACCTGAAGAAACAGAAGCATTAATAATTTAGACTTAACTTTTATTCATTTGTTTGTTCTTCGTTTGTCAAAACTATCGTTCATTTTCCTTCTAGTTCGTTCGATTTATCAGTAAAAGATTGTTAAATAAAATCGTTTGTTCAGTAAAATCGCTTATTCAATAAAATGATTCTTTCATTAAAAAATACGATCGTCGGTTTTTCTTACCATTATTCACGGAAAATTTCGTTCGTTTAAAAAACTAAGCCAATTTCTAAATGCAGTGAGACCCAAGATTTTATGAAAGATACAACTGTTTGTCTGAACTCTTAACTGACTACACATCTATCTCTAAATTTCTAATCCTTTTATCTATGCAATCTTATTAACAGACATTTGATGTTTAAACTTTGACTATTTTATCTGGCAAAATTTATAATTATAAGTTTAAAATATACAATTTCAAGCACATAACAAAGATTAGAATAGAAAGGAAATTAGACAATGTTTTGTGACTTTTGTCAGTCCCTTTGAGCCTATCTTCTATTTAAATTGTGAACATGTTCTTTTTGTTTACATTTAAAAACAAAGAAAAAAAATTTACGGATTTTTAAAAAAAAAATTCACGGATTTTCAAGAATTCAAACTTTTTTTTACAAAATTTAAAACCTTCAAAACTCATTTTTAAAATTTTTATCATTCATAAACCTTCCCTGTGGTCACGTGAGGTCCCACACAAAAATTGGCCCTGATCGGTTCAGCTGTTTTGACGTTTATTGGATACAAACAAACAAACAGACAGACAAGCCAAATTTATATATAGATTAAGGTTTCAAGGGTAACGTTGTAAGTCAGGTATTGCAAACTTTGCTTGGAGGGTCACTTGAAACATTTCATTCTTCCCAATCCTTTTACCACTGTGATCTTGCCAGGCTACTTTTATGCTTTGTTGCATGACATGTGCTGGGTCGACTCTACAGTGGACGATACGACTAAATACATATACAGTACATGTTGTACCGGCACAGATCATGCAAGTTTTAGACTGGGATGACGTACCTGTAGAGGTTTTAGTCTTGAGCAGATAACCGTGAATGTGACAATATCTGAGAAAAGCATTGTCACTAATTCATAGGACTGACACACCTCCATGTTTGATTTTCCCTGCGCCAACTCCTGAATTTGAAATTTAATTTGATCTTTTGTGTAGAGATGATCGTTAATCTTGTACGCTTGATCTTAACTTCCAATGTGGATCAATTTCAGGATCAATGGTTTTATTTCTCAAATAATAAAGTTATCCCTCTGCCAGGTATTTTTATCAAATGTGATTTTTTACATGAACTGTTTTATGTGAAACCCTACTTTGATTCAATTCAAACAAATTACATTAGATATTTTTTCAATTCAAAAAATTTCTTCGTTTTCTGTCAGCTTAAGCCTCATTATTTTCTGAAAGAACCCATACAATAAGTAAGAAAAGACATTTAAATTTTCTTTTTTTTAAATGATAAGCCGGTATGTATTTCCACCTCCCAAAACCGAATTCCCTCAGAAGTATATTTCAAATTTGAAAAGGCAGTTTAACCTCCTTGAGGGATATTTTCTCTCTCTAGAAGAAAGTTTAATCTATGAATATTTACAGTACACGATCGTTATAATTCAGAAAAATCACTTTTTAATAAGTATAATAAACTAATCATTAAATAAATGAACTTACGGCAGCAATTTGTTTTGGAAGCATTTGATCAATGATGTCCTGAGTTTTCTTCATAACAGCATCTAGTTTTTGTTTCTGTTGGGCCACACCTTGAGCTTTTATCTCAGCATTTACCAGAGCCATCTCAATATTTATTGATTGTGAAATGTTGTTTCTGGATAGACATTTTTAAAATTTGGATATTCCTTTTCAAATATGGATATTTCTCTTCAAAATTTGGATATTTTTTTTCTGATGGCCCTTTTGAAAACTTGGATATTCCTTTAAAAACTTTATATTTCTTTTCAAAATTTTGACAATCTTTCATTCCAGATTTTTAAATTTGGAATGAACGATTGTCACTCGATCTGATTTTTTAATTCCGATATCTTTGTAACCCAATGTCACAGACCTTAGATTTTTCAAACTATAAACTTTGTAAGATCAAACTGTCTGAGTTTAAAATATCAAAGGTGTACACGATCAGGTTACAAAGGTATGCGGATTAAATCATTAGACTTAGAGGCAAAGACTCATTTCCTTTATCGAGGTAAACGTTATAAACAACTCATACAACTGTATTAAATGTTTGAAATGTATGAAATGTATGAAATGCATGAAATTATTAAACGAAAAAAAACTTTCTTAAAACTTTTAATCATTATGTTGCATTGTCAGCTGACTTTAAAAAAAAGTAAGAAAATTTTTTTTTTTTAAATTAGTAAATTAAAAAGTTTTATGACTACCGTTCAAAAAAAATTTTCCTAGCAGATTTTCCTTAAATAATTTGATAAAATGAAAATTTTAACTAATTATGAAAGGGAGTGATCGGCAATACATGTTAGTTGAACTGAGAATGTAGTATTGTGAATATTTTTTAGGATTCTTTTGAGACATATAAAACGTTTTAATGATGTATATTTATTATTTACTGAGTTTGATCTCAAACCCGACTTTAAAATCACCCTTTTTGGGTGGTTGAATCAGTAAGAAAAAAATTTGAAACATTTTTATTTTGAACTGTGGAATTTTTTTTACAATTTTCTTTAAATATTTATATGATATGATAAAAATATTTTGACGTTTCTGTATTTCTTTTTCTTCATTTTCTTCTTGTTCGTACATCGTTCAATCATATTTTGGCTAATTTTGAAATAAAAATATTTTTTGGGAGAAATTATTGCGATATGCCATGCTACGAGCTAGAATAGTTCTGAGAGAATCTTGATTTTTTTTCTGAACTCTGTGTTGAATTGTTCACTCTTGTTTTACAGCTGACTCAGCGCTTAACATTCTGTTTACTTGCATTTGCAAGATCATCACTTCTAGCAAAGCATATGGGATTGTAGGATTTGCAACAATAAGCACGAGGTGTTCCCGTCTGATTTGGTGTGAACGCCCATTGTTGGGGACGCCTACACCCCAATTGTTATTGGCGGCAAAGGTAAATGTGTGCCTGTCTTTAGGAAACAAAACGCAGGTTTCAAAGTTACGTAACCACTCAAAAGGATGATTTTGAACGTTGACTTTGCAATCAAACACAGTAATTATGCATCATTAAATGCTGCATATGAATCCTAAAAAAAATTTACTACAATACTACAGTCTCAACTAATACCATACATTGCCGGTCACTCCCTTTAAATACATTAAATTGTTATCATTATATGCATTGTAATCGTTTTTACCTTCAGCTCAATTTGCTCTTGGGTTTTTGACAGCATAATGTCTCGAGAGTAGTCATGCATACTAATAAAATTGTCTTGTTTTATTTTATCGTATTTTTTAAAGAAGGTTTTTTTGAATGATCTTACAGGGTGTCCCAAAAACATGGGAATTCAGTGACGAATTCAATATCGTCTTTTCAAATAATTCTTTGATTTAGTATAGTGATACTTACTGAGAATCTGTAAGAGTTTCGTCTGCTATGTTTACATTTTGTTTGTTTATGTTTTGACTGCAACCGGTTGTACAAGAAAATTACAGTATACAAACAGAGTAAACTTGTCCGTATTCACTGTTCATCTTGCGGAGACATTATAGACACATCTTTGCAGTCTTTTACCCTTTTCATTAAATAGACTCTAGCAGACATAATAATATTATGGCTTTTTAAATTAGGTATTACAATGCTAATTCATAACAAAGACGATATCGAATTCGTCACTGAAATCCCATGTTTTTTGGGACACCCTGTATTAAAAAGGTCTTCGTAACAGTCGTGTTTTTACAAATACTGGTGTCTTTATTTGACAATTTTAATCTTATTATCATGAAATATTATGTATTTTTTGTCACTCATGGTTACTTAAAACTAAATATCATTATCATTTTCTCCAAAACATCAGAAAATTTCCAGCAAATGTTTTGTTTAATTATATTTATTTTATATTAACTCAATAGGAGTGTTCCCGAAAAATGAAAGAGGGTATAGGTTTACGGCGAAAAATTATTGATGGTGATCGCTACTTATCCTACAATTCTATCTGTTGCGTCTATAAGGAGAATATTATTAAAAACGACTCATACTGAAGAACGTAGCGTCCATACAAATTAAGAAAGTTGAAATATTCGACTCGGATCGTTAAAAATCAATTTCATTCCAAACAATTCATTCAGAAATTACAATCTATAATAATCATCAATATTTTATCGACGCATTCATTTAGTTGATATTTCATAATATTTTTTATTTGTTTTATAAACAAACATTGCACTTAAAATAACGATGTTTCTCCGCTAGGTGTCCCAGCCACAGGGAATCATTCAGAGTATCGAGAGCAGAGACTTCTGGCGGCCAACTAATAGGTTTTTTTTTAGTGAATCGTAATGTTTATAAAACAAATACAAAATATTATGAAATATCAACTCTATGAGTGCATCGAAAAATTTATCGATGATTATATAGGTTGTAATCTAAATGATTTGTTTAGAATTAAATTGATTTGTTTTTACGATCCGAGTCGAATGTTGCAACTTTATGAATTTATGTTTACGCTAGGTTCTTCGGTATTAGTCGTTTTCAACAATTATCTCCTTAAAGACGCAACAGATCGAAGTAAAATTAGTAGCGATCACCATCGATAATTTTTCACCGTAAGCCTATACCCCTTTTAATTTTTCCCAATGACTCCCTTTAATAGCATTCAATTTACTCAGATTCAATATTATCCTCTGATGTTTTTGGTAAAAATACTACAAAAAAAACGATCTGTAGAGCTGAATTTTTGCAATACTTATTAACAATTTGTTGCATGATCTTTAAAATAATTTTTATACGAGTTGACCCAAGAAAAACATGATGAGGAGTTTTAATTGTATTAAAAGATTGGAAAATGTGCCCAAGTATTTATCTTTTACTTTTAGAAGGGGTCATAGAATAAAGGGTCAAATGCCATGAATATGTTTCTTAAACAACCCCTTCTTTAATTAAATCTGTATGCAGGAACACTTTTTCGAGTCTTTCAAAATATTTGTTGGGCTTGAAAAACCTGAGTTTACTTTCTGTATCGTTATTGTCCTTAAAATGATTATGTTTTACCTAAGATCGTTGATAAACAAACCAGACCAGATGAGATTGTTCAAATCCTTGAAATATTAATTTTGAATAATTTCAATTTCAATGACACAAATAATGTTTTTGCCCTTTTCGAAATATTGAAGAAAAAAAACGCTTAAATATATATTTTTTCCAACTTTAACTAATATATTAATTCTCATGGAAAAAAGTAATTCGCCCTATCTTTGCAATCCAATGTCGTAAACCTTAGATATTTCAAACTATAAATTCTGTAAGTTTAAATAATCTAAGTTTGAAATATCAATTCATGAATGAGGTCCCGAAGATATAGGGGTTAAAAATATTTGACCATTTGGCAAAGATTCAATTTCTATATTTTTATTAATGATTTATACCTTCATCATTGGACAAGCTAGGAAGAGAATAGAATTCCATTCTGGTATAAAGATCATCTGACCCTAACATTCAATAATTCCGATTTAAATATTCCCGTATTCCGGTAAAAAATCATTAACCCTAAAATTAATTTTTCCCGGTATTCCGGTATAAAGATCATCTGATCCTAAAAATTCAATTTTTCTGGTATTCCGGTATAAAGATCATCTCAGCCAAAAGGTCTATTATTCCGGCTTACATATTCTGATATTACGGTATAAAGATCATCTGAGCATAAAATTCAATAATTCCTGTATTCCGGTAAAAAGATCATCTGACCCTAAAATTCAATTTTTCCGGTATTCCGGTATAAAGATCATTAGACCCTAAAATTCAAATTTTCCGGTATTTTGGAATAAAAATCATCTGACCCTAAAATTCAAATTTTCCAGTATTCCAGTATAAAGATCATCTGACCCTAAAATTCAAGTATTTTCAAAATATAAAAGTTTAAATTTTCAATGTACATAATTCTAAAGCATTACTATTTTGTAAATTCACATGATTAAGAACGGATTAAGAACGGATAAAAAATCCGTCAATATAAAAGATACAAATTCATTCTTGGGTTTTTTTTGTCAAGAATTGTGAGCATTTCTCAAGAAATTATTGATAAGATTAGTCTTCTATGTAGCTAAAAAAACGACAATATCTTCCACGACTGATCTGATCAATGTATAGGTTTGAATCAAGGCCACCTACCCATCTCAAAAGCTGAGCAGTGTATACAAAATACCTACCTTGATATGTAAAGTTTTATCCACATCCTCATCCAACAAATGGTTCAATTCACTGCTATAACCACCAGAAGTAGATCCACCCTGATCAAACAAAGAAAATGTTTTCAAAAAACTCTACATTTCTACATAATGTCCTAACTCTTTCAAATTTAAAATTATCAAATTAAAAATTAACTTGTCAAAGTGTCAAATATCAAAGTTTATATAAAATAATAGAGAAAATTAGAGTTTAAGATTCGTCGTGGAAAATATATTTGTCATTAAACCGTTGAGCTATAGGCAATAAAAAGAATATAAATTGAAAAAAACATTTAAGAATCTTTATAAATTTTTGGTTCGCTTCTCGCTCCCTTGTTATAAACTATTTTAGCTTTATATTGTTATTGTCCATTATCCATCTACGCCAGAATGTTTCCATTGGTGGATTTTTGAAAATATAAAATTCATAAGTTTTTGGACTCAACAAACCTTGCAATGTCAACCGGAATCTTTCCTGGAACCATTCAAAAAAAAAACGTTGGACAAAAAAATTAGCTGTTTATTAGATACATGTTATAAGGGTTGGTCATCGTGTCTAAAAAGGATAGAAAAAACGATAAGTCACAACGCAACGAACGAACTACTCTTTTTGAACTGTGTTTTGTTAACGTCGTTAACAAAGGATCATTAACGTTTGTTAAAAAAATAGATAACAACCCTCTTTATTAACAAAATGACAAACAATAAAACTAAAAAATGTTTTTTTGTTTTTGATTAAAAAATCGCTATTTTTTAAACAACTGTTTCGTTTTTCGTTTTTTCTTCGTTTTTTTAAACAATCATTAAACGATCAGTCTCCAAAAGAGTGAAACGATCTATCCCTTTATACAAACCAATAAACCAAAGGACAAGAAGTCGATAGAAAAAAAGGAAATAAGTTCTATTCATTGTCTTACCCCAGAGGCACACAGTTTGTCAATTTCTTCCTGTGAGGCCAGTTCAAACATAGAATTCATTCGTGACATTATAACCTTTAAACAAGTTTTTGTTAGAAATAGCTAATGCAAATAAGGTTTTGTTAGAAATAGCAAATGGAAATAAGATTTTGTTAGAAAAAGTAATGAAAATAAGGTTTTGTTAGAAATAGTAATGAAAAGATGGTTTTTTTGGAAATAACTAATGAAACTTTTTTTTTTAGAAATAGCTAATGAAAAAAAGGTTTTGTAAGAAATAGCTTATGAAAACTGAATTAAATCTGACCAGTAATTTGAACCTCAATTAACTTAAGCAAGAAATGTGCAAGTCACTGTAGCAGAGAAACCATAAATGAATTATTGAATAGTTTAAAGAGACAATAACATTTATATTTAATTAATATTTGGTCAGATAAAGGTTTCCAGTGTACCGTTTGTAAATTGGGCATTGCAGGTTCACTTGAAAATATATTTACGGTCCTCTTCAGCATTTTTGTTTCGATATTTTTTCTTTACCTCCCATTTAAACTCTACCAATGGTTTAATGAGTTCAAACCAGTTAGTCAGGTTTTGTCCAACCATTTTTGGGATGATTTGTCGGAGAGCACTACCAAGCACAGACACGGTCAAATCAGACTTAAATAGAACAATTAGTCAGGTTTTGTCAGACCATATTTTGGATGATTTGTCAGAGAGCACTATAAGCACAGACATGATCAAATCAGACTTAAATAGAACAATTAGTCAGGTTTTGTCCAACCATATTTGGGATGATTTGTCGGAGAGCACTACCAAGCACAGACACAGTCAAATCAGACTTAAATAGAACAATTAGTCAAGTTTTGTCCAACCATATTTGGGATGATTTGTCGGAGAGCACTACCAAGCACAGACAAGGTCAAATCAGACTTAAATAGAACAATTAGTCAGGTTTTGTTCAACCATATTTGGAATGATTTGTCGGAGAGCACTACCAAGCACATACAAGGTCAAATCAGACTTAAATAGAACAATTCATCTAAATCTCATTGGAAGGTAATAATCCATTTGGTGTACTGTCTTGTTTTTCCTTCATAGTCCGATATTATACTGTACATACACAAAGTTACGCACAACTTGCCCAAGCTACCTACTGAGCTGCCTAGGGGTTGGTCTTGCTCTTCAAATGAACCTGAGTTTACAGTGAATCCAACATTTGGTGATTTTCTTACACATTACAAAACAATGTTAGCAAATAAATTAGCTTCCAAATTAATTTTAAGAGTTTTAACTCTCTACTTTGAATCTTGGAAGCGCAAATATTAATGAAGCTGTTTTAAAAGTAAAAAAAACTTTATATTCTGTTGCTAATGATGGTGTTAGTGATATTTGAAAAATCTAAAATTTTATAAAAATTGAATTACAGAATCACAGAAAATTTGCAAACTTGTCATAAGAAAATTTGCAATTTTCAGTTCTGGTTTTATTTTTAAGGAAAAATTGTTTTTCAGTGGCTCTTCTGGTTTCAACTGAACAGCGTATTTGAATACCTTTAAAATATACTAAAAAGAAAGAAACTAAAAGATTTAAAGAACTTTTCCTTAAAAATTAGGCCAGAACTGAAAATTGCGATTTTTTTATTACAATTTTGCAAATTTAATCTTTATGAAATTTTAAATTTTTCAGAAATAATATATATACACATTTTTGCTTTTCTGAACTTTTGATTTTGAGAGAAAAAAAGGTTCGCGGATTTTTTCTTGGCCATAGGAGTAGCAAAAAAAATTAAAACTTCCAAAGAACACCATACAGAAGAGTTGCACAAAAAAGGTACAATTTTGCATCCGGCGCCACTAATCACACCTTATTTTACTCACCCTGCACTTTCTTCTTGTAGGCTCAGGCAAACTTGGCTTGGATGACACTTTGCTTGCAGATAATTTGGCTTGTAGGAAACACTCGAAGTTAGGCTCGGAGCTTAATAAATAGCTTGTCGAACCTAGACTCAAGTGATCCTACAACCATAGAATCTTTCTTCTAGCCCGGCCATAGCTTTTGATTCGAGACCATAGATTTTTTCGTCAAGACCATAGATTTCTTTTTTAAGATCATAGATTTCTTCTTCAAGACCATAGATTTCTTCTGCAAGAGCATAGATTCCCTTTTCTAGACCATAGATTTCTTCTGTATGACTAAAGATGTTTCATTCAAGACAGCAGTTTTCTTCTTCAATACCGAAGATTTCTTCTTCGTGACCTTAAATTTCTTCTTCTAGACCATAGATTTCTTGGTCAAGACCATAGATTTTGTCTACGAGACCATAGATTTTTTTATTCATGACTATAGATTTCTTCTTCGAGACCACAGATTTCTTCTTCGAGACAATACATTTCTTCTTCGAAACCATAGATTTCTTCTTTCAGATTTCAATGGAGGTTCTGTTCATCATTGAGTTCACAGCAGTCATCTCGATTATTCACGGCCAAATTGTAAACAGTGTATTGTATCGTTTCTGTTTCATCAGAGCTATTCACTTTAAAGATGATTCTTTTGTGATGTTGCAGAAAGATTTTAATATATATACTAAAAGTGATGATCTTCTAGGACCTTACTTGGTATAAAACTCATATTATTTGTATCTCCTTACTTGGTATAAAACTTATATTATTTTTATCTCCTTACTTGGTATAAAACTCATTCTATTTTTATCTCCTTACTTGGTATAAAACTCATATTATTCTTATATCCTTACTTGGTATAAAACTCATACTATTTTTATCTCATTACTTGGTATAAAACTCATATTATTTTTATCTTCTTACTTGGTATAAAACTCATATTATTTTAATCTCCTGTTCAACGAAATAACCAACCTTAAATTCCCTACTTTTTTTATTTCCAGGGAGGATAATTACGTCCTCCCTGTGATCCATACAGATTTATCAAATAAATTGTTCTCTGATTTAATTTTATTTTTACATTTATCGCTCTCTCAATCAATTTTGAATAAAATAGTAAACTACACCTAGTTTAATATTTGATCTAGGAAAGATCAAAACATGTACATACAGCTTTACTGAGCTGTCATCAAATATATTATATTACATCATTCTTTTCGGGTTTACATAATTACATTGTAAAGTTGTTCCCATGAAAATGTTTGATAATTACTATTTTGTCTGCATTTTGAATCACATAGGGCTTTCTACTCTGAGGAGGTGAAGCTAAGGNAACTCATATTATTTTTATCTCCTTACTTGGTATAAAACTCATACTATTTTTATTTCCTTACTTGGTATAAAACTCATATTATTTTTATCTTCTTACTTGGTATAAAACTCATATTATTTTTATCTCCTTACTTGGTATAAAACTCATATTATTTTTATCTAAAGCATCATGAGAACAGCATGCATGTGAATAGTGTTGCTAAAAATTGGACTTTATCAGTTTGATTTTTTTGGTACAAATAATTTAAGGCAGAAAACTCTGTAATAGGAAGACTTAGAAGCAATACTGAAGTGCATTTGATTTTGTTGTTACAAAGCAACTAGTTTTATTAGATAGACGTTTATTGTCAAATCAGTAATGAAGTGAAATGGGTCTGAAAGAAAATGCACAATTTCTGTATCCCATAGTGAAATGGCTTAAAGTCATAGCATGAGTCTAAAAGTCGTCTTCCAAATTCAGAGTTTTCTGGTTATCATAAGGTGCATTTAAACATGTTAATGTGGTATAATGAAGTGTTAGGTTTTATATTATGTACAATTTTACTTACATTATAAAGAATGCAGAAGGGGAACATTTCAAAAAGAATACTGGCTCTAAAATTTTAAAGTATACAATAAGACATGCTCAAAAATTGATTAAGTTAAAATTAAAAGTTTATTTTTCTTCTAAAAATTGAAAAAGAAGGCTGAAAGTTTTAGTTTGTTTTTTACAAATATCTTCTACCAAAAATGCGGAGTAGTAAAAAATAATGTTCTTTTTTCGTAGAACCTTGAAATAGTCCAATCATTTTAACAATTAAAAAATCAAGTTATTGTCCACTGTCAGACTCCTGTATGCTCAGTTCATTAGCGCCTGATCCAATCAGGGTTTAGTCATGTGTTTGTTGTCTATTTTGAACCAATAGAAAAAGTATGGCGGTAACATCTATCTTTCTATCTATCTCATTATCCAATCAGAGTTATGAATCCTTCAATCGGTGCTATCATTAATGGAAATATTTACTTCTGTTGAAACTATACTGGGCAATTAACACTTATCAGTATAATGAAGTAGAAATTAATCCATAATCTTACCTGAGCGGCATTGATGCAACTTTCCTTTGTTCCTCTTGCAAAAGAAAGTCTTTATAACCTTGGTTCACAAACTTCATCTCAAATGTGCTGACTACAGTATCAAACACAACCTAGAGTAGAGGTTGAAAGAGACTGTACGCGTACTTTCAAATGAACCTCTATTGCAAAAACGGCTATGCCTAATTTACATTAACGGTATCAAAGAAAGAATTAGATATCAAGTTTGTTCCTTTTTTTATTTTTTTTTTTATTTCACATTTCTAGCTTGTAAGAAGCAATAAAGAAACTCAAGGAAACAAACATCTTTTAATGTAATAAGGTTATAAAAAAAATACAAACAAATGGTTCAAAATTTTACCTCTTGCTTTTTCAGGGTTATCTCGAGTTTCTTAATTTCATCAGCAAAGTTCTTGGAAATCTCTTTCACCTGGCCCTGGACGTAGTGATGAAACCCACGCCGCTTACTCCTACACAAATATACATTAACAAAACATTTTAAAAAAGCATGTCTGATTCAGAATGGTACCCTTGCATTCCACAAAGGATAAAATTTGATTGCTCTTGCAAAGGAATTGAGTTTTTGCCAAAACCTTTTCTTTTTCCTAAATCTTTGAAACCCGGTGCGGGTGACATTGACTGCATATATAGTTTAAAATATCAAAGGTCTGTGCCGCACGCGAAGTAATAAAAAACAAGCCGCTTACTTTCACAGAAAGCTATATTAACAAAACTAACTTTTTATATCAGAAACTAAAACTATTTAACACAAATATTAAAGTATACCTAGGCACTGTTGATGTCATTTAGATAAGATAAGATAAGATAGAGTTTATTGCTAAGATACGATCTCTCTAATAATTATTTTTTCCACCTAATTTCTATAATGATATATGAACATTTCAATTGAAGAGTATTATAAGAGATCCATTTTTAGTAACATACTCATCTAAAAATGTTAACTTTGATAAAAGATTTAATATATCTTTGCAACTTATAGTGAAAACCTTTTATACTTTATAGTTAGACTATTTGATCCAAGAAATAAATTGACCAGGAACCGCCATATCTCATGCATCAAATCTGTGTACTGCAGTGGGAGGAGATAAAAACAAAGAATTCAGGGGCAACGCATCATTTTTTGAGGGAAAAGGACCCAAGAGGTGGAATAAAAATACATGGCTATTATATTTTCCATATTGACCAGAAAGCCAAAAATCATTCGCTCTAACTTGATATATTAACTTGTTTTTTTTTGGACTGTAATATCACATCAGAGCCTTCGTCCACAGAAACAATTCCCTCTTGTACATGGGGGCGTGAGTTTTGGGTACCTGTATTCTAGAACCATTCCAGACTCATCCTCATGTGCAATAAAGAAACTGGGAGCTTTCATCCTAATCACAGATCATCACAAATTAAAATAAACAAATACAAATCTAGAATTCATCGTTTAAAGGGACAGACCGGCTATGTAAGGTAGTTTAACTGAGTAAGCAATGTTGTGGATAAATTCATTCGTTATATGTCGCAACGCTTTTTAATCTGTAAATCGTGAGTTTAAGCGCAAAGTCGACGTTCAAAATCGTACTTTTGGGTGAATACGTTTTCAGAATTTTTTTTTTAAATTATTGAATAACGACGACAAAAATGTAAACAAAATTTTATAGTAAATCAATTAGTTGTTTAGGAACAAGTCGAGAAAATAAAAATTATAAATATGTTCCTAATCATCTAATAAGTTTCCTGTATAATTTTTACTTTTTTAATTGAAAACGTACCCACCCAAATTTGTGATTTTGAACGTCGACTATGCACTCAAACTCAGTAATTATACATCGTGGAAAAGTTTTATATGTCTCAAATAAATCCTAAAGAATGTTTCCACAACATTACCTTACATAGCCGGTCTGTCCCTTTAACCCTATCCCTTCTGGGGTACTTGAAAACCAGGATATGCTGGGGGGGGGGGGCCCCCCCCTCTAATTCCCATGTTTGATGTCCAAATATGACAAATCTTACATCATTGGAAAGCTCTTATGCTCTACTTTAAGAATCTGCAAAAAAATTTGCAAATTTGCAAAAATTGAATTTTTTATCGCAAAATCCAGTTATATGGTAAAAATGTTTGCAAAAAAAATTGTCCAAAAAATAAAAAAATATACATTTTTGAAAAGCCCTTGACCATGCGATTTCAAATATGCAAAAATTTTTGCAAAATTTTAAATAACCTGATTTTTAATCAAGAGAAACTAAAAAAGTGCAAATTTATTTCGACAGGTTGTTTGCAAAAAAATTGCATTTTTTTTCGCAAAACTTGTGCAATCTGTTTCCTTATGTCATAGGCTTTCCAAAAAGCTAAATTTTATCAAAATCTGACAAGTGAAAGTGGGTCAAAAACAAAGATTTAGTTTGTTACAGGTAAAAGCAGTCATTCAGGCAGTGTGCCTGAGGACTGAGGCAGTTAGTATTAAAGCCCGGTTTTAGGCCTAAAGGCAGGGCTTTGGGTATGTAGGAAAAGTCAGAAAATTTCAACAGCCTCATACCAATACTTTTTAAGTTATGTAAAAAAAACTACAGGGGGGGTCAAATTGACCCCCCCCCCCAGCAGGAATAGGGTTAACTGGACTTCTCTAGACTGAGATATGTATCATAACATTTGTGAACAACCTCAACTTTAAAGTGTCGCAACGCCTTGGCTTTGTTTCCATTTCACCAACTTACTTTTGTGTAGCCCCAGACATTTGCATTTAAAAAATATAAGTTTAAAAGAAGAAATTGTCAAAATACTGATTTATTTATTGTGAGAGCGTGCACATCTTGGTTTGCAGTGTCTAGGCTCCGGAGAAAGGTTGATCCTGCAGTACAACAATACTTTTGTAAACTCTGGGGAAAGGTTGATCCAGTACAACAATACTTCTGTAAACTCTGGGGAAAGGTTAATCCAGTACAGCAATACTGCTGTAAACTCTGGGGAAAGGTTGATCCAGTACAACAATACTTCTGTAAACTCTCGGGAAAGGTTGATCCAGTACAACAATGCTTCTGTAAACTGTAATTCTGTCCAGTATGAGGAGAAAGGAAAGCTTATTTTCCTGTACAAATACGTTTGATTTAAATCTGTTCAGAGGTCGAATTTAAAGAGTTTTTACCGGTTCAAATCTGAGTCGCAGATCAAACATTGTTGGTTCCACTTGAAATCATAATCAATGTTTTGACATTTGAGTCGGCGCTAAACTGGAACCGGTTCAATTTCTTAAAAGCGGTTCGGTCCATATTCTTTAAATTTGGCTTCAGATCATTTAACGAATAAATTTTATTTTATAAATGTTAAAAGAATAAAATATATATTTAATATTTGCAATGATTCCTTTGAAATGTAAACTTGAGGTAGTCATGAAGATTATCCAGGTTTACAAAAAAATCTCGAAAGTTTCTGCCTACACTCTGTAAAAAAAGAGCATATAAAAGTATTCATGAAAAAACTGAAATACTGAAATTTGGAGATAAATCCACTTTTAACAAAAAATAGTGAATAAAATGAGAAATGTTTTATCTTATAACTAGTAAACAAGGAATTGTTATTTTGTTTTGTAATTTAGAGTGAATACAATTAGTTTGATCAAATACTCTCGAATTATAGTATATAAATAGAACTAGACTTTAGGGTGCTATTTCAACTTTTAATTGTGGCAACATCATCTCTTTTTACAATAATAAAAAAAAAAAAAATGGCGCAAATAAGGTCAATTCTGTATACTTGGAGCATTAATCCATAGCCCAGGTTTGTAGCCAAAGCAACAAAATATACACCCATCCCCTCATAGAACTCTTCATCCTAGATAATAAAATATACTCCCATCCCTTCATAGAACTCTTCATCCTAGATAATAAAATATACTCCCATCCCCTCATAGAACTCTTCATACTAAATAATAAAATATACTCCCATCCCTTCATAGAACTCTTCATCCTAATTAATGAAGAAAATTTGCCGAAGGAAACAAGCAAATAAGATTTTAAATTTTGATTTCTCATTTGAAAACAAAAATAATCAAAATAAACTGTTTACTTTTAATTACAATCTAATTTTTCTTGCCGTAAACATGTACCATAAAGTTTTATATCTTAAATGTTTGTTATTACCTTTACTCCTATCACTTTCATTGCTGCTTTCCCCATTTTAGATATTTGGCCCTCAGGGAATTGTTCAGAGATGCCAAAATCATCCTTTACAGGTTATTTTACTTAAAGGGTCTGAAAGCGTAATTTCAAGTGACCCTTCATGCAAGATGGTAATGCCCGATTTACAACGGTTCCCTTGAAACTTTTTCTGATTAAAAATGTGGAAGATACCGTCGTTTTTCTTACTCGAAAAATGTTAATTTCTGTGGGTTTCTTAAATTGCTTCTTAAAAACAAGAAATGCGCAAAATAACTTTTGCAAAGAACCCGCAAACAAAAATAAACAGTTTAAAGAAACAAAAGCATTGATATCATAATTCATACTTGATCAGACAAAGCTTTCAAGGGTATTATTAATCGGACATGGATAAAGCTTTGCATGGAGGGTCACATCAAATTACGCTTACAGTCCTTTTAATGTCTTAGATATGCAGTTTTTAAAATATTCATTTTTGGTATTCAACAATTTTAATCAAAATCCCTTTTATTTGAAAAAATTATTTGAAACTTAAGAACAAACTTGTAAGAGCACATTTTTACGTGTTATATAGATTATTTATACTTATTTTAAGAAATTTCTCTTAAATTTCGTGTATTTTATCTATATGTAAATTTGGCTTGTCTGTGTGGGTGTTTGTCTGTTTGTTTGTATCCAATAAACGTCAAAACGGCTGAACCGATCGGGCCCAAATTTTTTGTGGGACATCACGTGACCACAGGGAAGGTTTATGAATGATAAAAATTAAAAAAAAAATGTGTTTTAAAGGTTTTTAATTTTGTAAACAAATTTAAATTCTTGAAAATCCGCGAATTTTTTTTTTTTTAAATCCGCAAAAATTTTTTCTTCTTTGTTTTAAAATGTAAACAGAGAGAACGTGTTCACAATTTAAATAGAAGATGGGCGCGAAGCGCCCTAAAAGCCTAGAAAGTAGGGTGCGAAGCGCCTTGAATTTCTAGTAAATACAAATTTGTAAATTATTAACACTGGGTCTAGTCTTAATGCTTAGTGAATAAAAATATGAAATAATTTGTTTTCTTAAATAAAAAGAAAAAAAGAAAAAAAAGACCAACCTCAGCTAAATCTAGTTTTGTTTTGATCTCTTTCCATTGTTTTTCTCCATACGAATTCCTTTATTTGAATGTTTAATCTTTTTTTACTTTTTATAAATTTATATAAGTTTTTAATCTATTTGAAAGACAATTTTTATTATATTTTAGGCTCCAGACTTCACTGACTCCACTGCAGCTGAAGTGTTTAAAGGGGGATACTGGTTAGGTAACGCACTTATAGCTAAACCTGCTGTATTACAAACTTATTAAATAATTGTAAAAAAGAACGTGTTTCTTCTAAGAACACCCTTTGAATCATCCTGAGCATGTGTGATGAAATTTGACAAACTTATTCAGTAATCATACACAGTTAAAACGGTTGGTATTTAATGAGTCCTAAAGTTGTACTCTATAATACTACGTTTCCTAGCCAGTCTCTCTCTTTAAGAAATTAAAATATAGTTGTGTCTCTAGATCCATTTCTGAATGGTTTTAAACTGCAAATTTTAAATTGGATCTGAATCTTTTTTATCAAACACACTGCAGCCTGCAAGTTCTATTTCTTAAAAAATAAATCATCTTGCTCTCTGACTTATGTATTAAAAAACTTATTTTATTACTGGAAATACACAAGATTATTTTATTTGGGCATGCTAAAGAACCCTCCACCATTTGCAATATTAATGTAAAAAATCTGAATTTGATTAAATTTTAGTTTCTAAACATTCCTTATGTACTCAACCATGTTCTGAAGAATTAGCCCGTACATGGTGAACAAATATTACAACAGTCCCACTATCAACCGGCTATTTTTAATTCATTTATTTGTTTGTCCGTTTGTTTATTTGTTTGTTTGTGTCGAATAAACGTAAAAATGGCTTAACCCATCAGAAGTAAGAAATTTTGTTGTGTAAATATTGGGATAGAGCATTGATCTCTTTCTGGGTCAGATCTACGAATTAGTATTGGGATCAAGCATTGATCTCTATATATGCAGATCTACAGATCAAGCATTGCTCTCTATATATATATGCAGATCTACAGATCAAGCATTGATCTCTATATATATGCGGATCTACGGATTAGTATTGGGATAGAGCATTGATCTCTATCTATGCAGATCTACAGATCAAGCATTGATCTGTATCTATGCAGATCTACAGATCAAGCATTGATATCTATCTATGCAGATCTACAGATCAAGCATTGATATCTATCTATGCAGATCTACGGATTAGTATTGGGATCAAGCATTGATCTCTATATATGCAGATCTACGGATTAGTATTGGGATCAAGCATTGATCTCTATATATGCAGATCTACAGATCAAGCATTGATCTCTAAATCCTTTAAATCCTCTTTGATAACCACTGATGGTCGGAACGGGGTGTATGTGTGTCTGTACCAAAAGAGTGTGTGTAAGTAATAACGAACCGAAGGCGTGTATATACACATACAGTCCATACGAATCTCGGTATTTCTACAGTTTTGGAGAGTACATTTGTTTATTGTTAATGTTTTCCTTAGAAATAAGTTTAATATACATGTAATATATTATTTATATATTTAAGTCAACACAATAAACCAAATTTTCATGCAAAGAATATAATTTGATTAAAGTTTACTGCAATAAGCTACTCGTTATTCAAGCTTAATTATAATTGACGACATTATTCTGCAATTTTCTTGACTGTAGTCATGTTGTGTGTCTGTACCAATAGAATGTGCGTGTGTGATAACGAACTCGTCCACAAAGACCAGCACCATTTTTTCTTATTCACTGGTCTATCCTCAAATTAAAAACATTGGGTGTCGAGATCAAGAATTTAAGATAAACGCTACACAGAAAATTTCAGACCTGAGGCCGAAATTTGATGGTAAATCAGACGACCCTCGGAAAAGTTTGAGGCTGATTAGGCTACAAAATAAAATATTGCTTCAAAATACTTAAGATTTTAAGAATTTTTTGCAAATCCACCAATTTTAGAACAGGAAATTCACGAAATTTGTTATCATCATGATTTTAAAATGTACAAAATTATAAGAGTAAATATCTTTACAGGAAACTCTCAAAGAATTAGATTTAAATATTGCGGTAAAGGAACCCGAATATTAAATTCCTTAAATTGTCTATGCATGCAATAAGAAATTAAAATGTTGCCTGCTTCAATGTTTCAATAGAATTGAAACAGATATTCTCTAAGAATCTCTTTTATACAGCTAAAGTAAGGCCTAAGGACAGGAAAGGATCAAATTGAATTATTTCATTTTTTCACAAAAAAATTATGATCTTTTGCATAAATGATCGTATTGCACAAATGATCGTATTGTGTAAGAACTTTTGCTAAAACGACATAGGGTCATAAAGTGAGACTAACATTTTTTGAGAGAGGTAGCACATTATTTAACATTTTTAAATGCCGCATTACTCGGCCCCCTAACCCATCCTAGCCGCAGAAAAAAAAGATGCTATGAGAACATTTCTCCTCTTTGAATCTTTTATATGTCTATTTGTGTTAACATCCGTGAAATTTATTTTAATAATTGTAAAATGTTTGAGGTTAACAGTCTCAAATTCTCTTTTATTAATAAAAAATCTAAAAATGTATCAGATACATAAACATATTGTGATATACAAATATACGACAAGACTATTAATTTTGCAATTTTGTGTACATTAGAGGGGATTATGAGGTTAGCTTTACCAGTAAACAATTAAAAACTTTAGAAAATTGAAGACAAAACTTTTAAAATCGATTTTCAAATAATTCTTCCCCTTTGACACTAGACAGAACTGGGTGTAGAGTGCCGTGTAACATGCTGAAGAAAAGTTTGCTCAATAAAATTTTTCATTTATTAAAAAACTATAATTTTTTTGAAATATTTGGTTGTTCATTAGAAACGATCGTTATTCAAGGTCGTTCTAACGATTTAAAGTTCCTTTTTAAAAACGATTACTCTAGATGCCCATCTCTACCTGGAAAATAATAGAAACTCAAGATGCCCATCTCTACCTGGAAAATAATAGAAACTCTAGATGCCCATCTCTACCTGGAAAATAATAGAAGCTCTAGATGCCCAGCTCTACCTGGAAAATAAAAGAAACTCTAAATGCCCATCTCTACTTGGAAAATAATAGAAACTCTAGATGCCCATCTCTACCTGGAAAATAATAGAAACTCTAGATGCCCATCTCTACCTGGAAATAAATAGAAACTCTAGATGCCCATCTCTACCTGGAAAATTATAGAAACTCTAGATGCTCATCTCTACCTGGAAAATAATAGAAGCTCTAGATGCCCAGCTCTACCTGGAAAATAATAGAAACTCTAAATTCCCATCTCTACTTGGAAATAAATAGAAACTCTAGATGCCCATCTCTACCTGGAAAATAATAGAAACTCTAGATGCCCATCTCTACTTGGAAAATAATAGAAACTCTAGATGCCCATCTCTACCTGGAAAATAATAGAAACTCAAGATGCCCAACTCTAGCCTGAACACTAGTAGTTTTGGTTTGGATCAGGCAAGAATTAAACTGATGTGCTGGATCAACGGACCTAAAATTACCATTAGTCACTGATAAGTGATAATGTCCATTACTAACTATGATTAGCTATGAAACCTGACTCAGGAAGATAGGGGGGGGGGGGGGGCGGATAAGGACAGTTTTAGTGAACAGTTTTCTAACTTTTTGTTCTGAATTTAGGGTTTCCAGCGAACAAAACGTTTCGCGAAAAAATACGAACATTTTCGGTCGCATTTCGCATTTATTCGCGAAAATAAATGAGGTGAAAATGCGAAATGCGAAAATTTCGTGTTATTTTTTCGCGAAATTTTCGCATTTTTCGCTGGCGAACAATGCGAAAATGAAGCGAAATGGTTGAGAAAAAAATGTTCGCGAAACGATTTTTCCTTTTTGCTGGAAACTCTACATCTGATGTAAAATCCCAAACAATATTGAGGTTTTTAAGTTAGTTTGTGCATACCTGCCTTCTTATACCTACTTTACCAAACCTAGCACTGAAGACTTTCTGTTCTTGCCTGATAGAGTTAAGATGACTTTTCAGATCTATGTTGGATACATCATGAAATATAACCATCTAATCATTTTATTACATGAATAACTAAAGACACATCTTTTGTTATTTATCGAATTTTAGTTTGTATATACATTCATATTAGTTTGTATTTACATTTCTATTTTTTATTAAAAATCAGAAAATGAGCATCTGGAGATTCAGTTTTGAATTTGCAAATATTAATGTTGTTCAGAAATTAAATAAACAAACAAAATGAACAAACAAAATCTTGAATGCTTGAAAATGGAACAGTGGTAGAAAAAAAGATAAGAATTGCGTACATCCGAATCTAAAGTTACTAAATTATACACGATTGTATTATTGTATATATACTTCTATATTTCTCTTAGTTATAACCATTAACATATTTCTTATTATATATTTTAGTAAATAGATTAAAAGACAAATCACGGAATAATGTAGTTTTATTTAAAATTTTGATTTAATCTTCATAAATATTTGTTTTTCACCAATTCGAGCTGTTTTCCTGAAAAAAAATATAATTCCAGATTTTAATTTTGCGACAAAGAAAAAAAAATATTATACCACACTCTAAGAAACGTCAAATTTTTATCTCATTAATGTTGTTGGAGCACCACGTGGATCAGGCCATGTCATCTTAGTTGAATTTGGCTCCGCGGTGCTCCAAAAAATTTTGTTAGATGAAAATTTGACATTTCTTAAGAGTGTAGGACTGTGTGCGTTATTTTAAGTTACCCTCATTCCTCATTTTATAAAGCTTATCATGTTTGATTCCCATCAGTGCCTTTAAAATATTATTTTAGTAATAATATCTTAACAAATGTGTAATTCTGACAGTTTTTTTCATTGTCTTAGACATAGGTGTATATGGTACTGTTGTAAATCAGACAAGTCACTGGATAAATTGGGTGTCACTTGAAATTACATCTACAGCCCTTTAACCCTATCATAATAGGGGAACCTTCACTGTGTTTTTTTCTAAACTACTCAAAAACGGCTTACATGAACGCTAAAACTTCTTAAATTTTTCAATATCATATTTGAGAACAAATTTTGACAATTTTTTTTTGCATATGGTAGAGTGAAGGACAATGAATTGGCAGGATGGTGTTTAAAAAACCCCAGAAATGGCTGATAACTTTTTTATTAATTAAGCTACAAGGCTAAAGTTCATATACTTGAAAAGCCCTTGAAAAATGGATGTAAAACATGTTGCACCCTAACCATTAAAGTTAGATGTCTAATTTTTTTAGTGCGCAGGTCTTGAGAAGTTGTTCTGAGGGATATGCATCACACTTCCTTATCTCAACTCTAAGGGCAAATTCATTGGCAACACCCCCCCCCCCCCCATCTTTATTAGACAAAAAAGCCCAACCGGGATAGGGTTAAGAAACCTTCAGATTATGCTGCAAGTAGTAGAACGTTTGAGTCCACCAAAACATTGGCTATTGCTCACAGTTTCAACGGTTGGTATAACATGATCCTAAAAAAAATGAAAAAATACAATAAGAAAAAATGCAATTAGAAAATGCATAATTATTGTTATGAAACATCATTTTAACCATGTTTATTGACTGACGAGGAGCAATCCAAAACAATTGTCAGTTATAAATATGAAAAACTCAGAATTCTCTGCTTATTGCTTTGTAGTTAACCTGATTCTAGATAAATATCAACCATTCAAATATATCTCAAGGCAAAGATGGGCATCGTTTTTGTGAACGAACGAAAATGTTGAGACTACTCAAATTTTTTTGGAATGATGGACAACAGTTTTAGTTGAAAAAACTATCACTCAAAAACAAAAACAAAAAAATTTAAAATCGTTCAATCAAATTTGGAAAAACAATAGTTTTGCACTGAACAAAAGGGTTTTCCAAATGATCTAATAAAGCTATTTTTTTTTACTGAAAGAACAATTTTTTGGAATAAACTTTTTGAAAACGATAGTCTTTTTACTGAAAAACCAATTATTTTTTACAATTTTTGAATAAACTATTGTTTTTTTTAATGAAAGAACGATTTTACTAAATAATCGTCCAGTGAGAAAAAGAATGAAATATATGAAAAATGAACGGTAAGGACAAATTTTTTTTTTTTAAACACTATAAAACAAAAACAAACAAAATGGGTCGTTCAAAAATGATGGACAATGTAATGAAATCTCAATCTTAAGGATAATCTTTAATAATGTTTAGCACACATGAACTGATTATGGGTCTGAATCTTCAGTTTTCTAATCACAAGGGTGATTTTATAATTGGTCATTATTTGAAAATACAGTGTTTTTCTCTCAATTATTTGATTATTTTTAAAAACTACAATTTGTTTTGGGATCTTTTCTTGGTCCAACTTAACCACCTTTGGTTAAATTTTTTACCTTAATATTGCTGCTAGTATTAGAGGTATCTTGGGGAGCATCTGGTTCTTTTGCTTCTTCATTATTGTTGGCTGCATCTCCTGAAACTTCTTCAATGATATATTTGGAAATGTTCCGGAAAAACATGGAGAGGACCAGAAAACAGCAAAGGCAAGATGAGAAAATTGATTTAGACTTTTACCTTGATTGTTTAAAAGACTAATTAGAATAGAATAGATGTTAAAAGTAGAATAGAATAAATGCTAAAAATACCCTAATATAGTAAGTATCTTTGAGACAGTGTAAAAATGTATCACAATAGAGACAATTTTGCAAAATATTTATAAAACACTGAATTACTTCTGAATAGGTCAGGAACTAATTGTAATTTCAAATGACCCTCTCTGTGCAAGGATTGTAATGCATGCTTCATAAAGATACCCTTTAAAGATTTGTCTGAACAAGTATAAATTACAAATAATCTTATAATTATAATGGGAATTTTTTATCAGAAAGGTTTTTTAGGGTACTGTTATGAATTGGACTTTTCCATCTTTGCATGGAGTGCTTCTTGAAATGAAATTTTCAGTCCTTTAAAAACAGGTAAAGTCACACTTTTCTAGATGCATCTTCTTTCTATACTAATGTGGTCTTAAAACAGCAGTAAAGCAACACATGTAATTGATTAATTACCTGCTACTGAGTTTGTTTCTTCCGAAGGCTTCAGGAAATTTTTTTCATCTTGACCTTCAGTTGTGGAAATATTTGCTATTTCAGAGACAGGTGTATTCCCATCCTTTCCTTCTTTCTGGTCAGGTGGTACTACTTTTTCTTCATCAGTGGTGTCTTTCTTATCAGCAGTCTCATCTTTGCTCTCTAAGGGTTTCATTTCTTCATCTCTGGGCATTAAAGCTTTGATAACAGCTGCTGAGAGAGGTTTTCTTCCCTCTTTAACATTAAGGAAGTAGCTTCTATAGCCACCAACCTTTTCTTTTAAACCCGGATCGTTTCGTTCTTCAACCTAGAATAGTTGAAGTAATCTTTTTTTCTTTCCTTTTTTAATTCTTTCTACTTTGCAACACTGGGAAAAAACTATTCAGTTTTAACTGAATTTTTTGTCTGTCAACTTTGAAAAAAGAAAGGTAGGGAAATTATGAGGTTTCTGGTTCACCACCTATCTTGGGCTCCCAAAAACAATTTTGGCATTCCCAGTTAAGCACTTTTGATGTTTATTTGATCCCAATAAACGATGCAGAAAATAGAAATGTCACATATAAAAATATATATGTTCAACAAACCCTATATTGCGCTGTGAGGGCTCTCTGACATGTTTCAGAAATATGTATTCTCATTGGTTTAGAATTAGATTCAAATTTTTCAGTCAGGCCAACATTTACTCCAAACAGACAATACCTAAACAATATGAAGCACTAAATGATTAACTTTCTTGTTGTTTATTATTGTATATATGTCATTTATATAGCTGGCCAAATGGGAGGACCAAATTGGCCAAAATGTTTTTCTGTGCTGAGGGGTAAAATAGGCTAAAAAAGTTCTATTTTTATATTAGGGTAACACCAGGCACTTCAGCTAGTATTGCACAATATGAAATTTTTATCAAAGTTATCAGAAAAAAGATATACCTTGGCATTTTCAAACCAACAACTCCAGCAATGACAGAACCAGAGTGACATCCAATTCTCATCTGTATGTCCGCTCCTGCAAATAGATAAGAGTGTTAAACTTTTTAAAGAATTTTATGGTATTTTAAAAGCTTGTTTTAAAATATGGTTCGTTCAGTAAAAATCAATTGTTTTTTCAAATATTTTGAAAAATTTGTTTGTTGAGTAGAAAATGAATGAAAAAGTTTTTTTTCGTATGTTTTTAAATAACGATAGTTTTCATTTCTTGGAATGATCCAAGTTGTAGGTCCATCATTCTTTTTTTCTGAAAAACACCATCCTTCACAAAAAGTTATAGCAGAATTTTAGGGACATAGGTCTAAAATCTGTGGCCACAATCATTTTTAGATTTTGACTTTCAATATTCCAAAATGTCACTAAAAAACTAAAAAGTTATATCAAAAGATTAATCATGAGTTTATCAGTACTGACCAATATTTTTCTTCAATATTTTTTAAAATAGTTTTTTTAGGACATTTCTAAACTCAGTGTTTCAAACCAAATCTTTTGAAAAAAGTTTTTTTTTTCACTTGACTTATTAAATAATTCAACTTGAATTTCTTCAAAACCTGTTTCTGGTTGGCAATTTCAACTTGCGAAACAAATTGTCTTTTTTTAGTGTTGTTTTAATATCCAAAACTAATCAAATGCACATAGGGGAGTTTAATGGTAAACTTTGATTATCCCCTACATGCTTTTTATTTTTATTTATGATTTGTATTTACAGCACTTCTAATATTTAAATTTACCTGTTCCGGGATCTTTCATCATTGATATTCCATCCATCATATCAAATGCCATATCACATATCTGTTACAAAATGATTCTCAGGGACATTAATTAGTGTTCTTCAATTTATTTGGCAAATTTTAAGATTTTACCCGCATAGCATGGTTATTAGCCTTAATGGGTGCTCCAGCCACAATGAGGTATGCATCTCCTATGGTTTCAACCTATTAAAGACATTAAAAAAAAGGTAGCTACGGTGAAATAGGAAGACGATTTAGAGTCCAATGAGCATGAGACGCAATAATTGTGCAGTATACACAGCCCCATTTACTAAATTAGTGATTTTATAATTGCCTGGTATTAAACTATTTGCTTTTTAACAGCATCAAATACACTTCAGTTTTGGTATAATTTCCTCTTTCTACTCCATTGTTTTCTGGTTATCACTGTAAATTTCTTTAAAATGATTGACTCTATACCTAGGCAAGTCAATATCAATGATTACAATACAAAATGCAGTTTTTTCTTCTTTATCTGATATGTTTCATCTTTAAGTGTTTTAAACTATGTCTGTCTCTGGAAAAATGTGATTTAAAATAATCAAAGGGTGGTGTACTTGCCTTGTACACTGCATTTTGATCACAAAGAAAATCGAAGAGGGTGTACATGTTGTTCAGGAGGGCAACCACCTAGTCAAAGTGTAAGTGTAATGTTCAGTTCAGACAGTTTTGCTTTGAATGGAGGGCTGACTTGAAATTAGATTTAAAGTCTGGATAAAACAAAACTTGTATGTTTATTCCTAGGCTGGACACTCTTTATGGCAACACATGCAAATTTATTTCAATTTCTATCAATGCAATAGTTACATTTTTGACATTTTTGACAACTATTCAAAAATTCTGCTATCAAATACTTATATGCTAAAAGAATAACTTGTATAATTTGTATGGCTAAACTTAAACTAATATTTTTTGGAATATAAGGACAGAAATCTTTTGTTAGATAGTACTAAAAATAAAAAGATTTCAAAATATACCAAATTCTGTTAAACATTGGAAATAATTTTCCAATTACAATTCAAGTTATTGTAATGATTAATGTGTTCTATCAAATACTTTTCGGAAGTAAATCCTAGGGATTTGAGATCAGTTAATTGCTGCCATGGGTAGGGCTTATACTTTTATTTCACTCTACATCCCAGCACTCTAATTCTTGTAAATCCCGTTTATAGCTATTTCTCTAGATATATCTAAGGAGTATAAATGAATAGGATTTATCAGCATCATAGTTTTATTTGTTAAGTACATCTGTATAAGATTACTCTTGTTTATTAGTTCCTTTAATATTCTAAAAGGCCATCATTTGGCTACTCTTCCATGTCTCGTTCAGCTCTAATGTCTTATTAAGCTGCTCCAGTTTACCATCTATCTGAGCAGCTTTCTCAAACTCAATATTTAATTCAGCTGCTCTTGTTCATGAGATGCTTCTACTGTAACTCTAGCTGCTACTGTAGTTGTTCCAAAGTATCCACTAATTTAGCTGCTCCTACAATCTGAGATGCTTCCACTGCATTCCCAGCTGCTTCTTTTTCTGGACTGGGAATTCTTAAAATTCTCAACTCTCCAAACGAGTAAGGTTAACACTTGTGTTTGTCTCTCCTAAACCTACTGGAGAGTAAAGAGCATCCTCTGATATTCTCAGTGATGCTGAGTACTCCGAGGATGTATATTCCTGTATAATGATGAGGAAGGAGGCCAGTGTCCTCCTTAGTTCCCTGGTATGCATAATAAAAATATATCAATCTGATAGCAGTCCAATAGTGCAGGTCCACAAGCCTTTGTTGTAAAAGTGGAGAATAATCGCTACGTCTGTACTGGTCAAAGATCCTGTGGCCAAATTTAAAGAATTTGAGCAGCGGTTTAAATTTAAGCCGAGGTTTAAATATGGTTGGTTCCACTTAAAATTGTATGAAATGTTTCAAGATTTAAACCGGCGCTTAATTTAAACCGGGTTTTGGCAGATTTAAACCACGGCTTAAATTCTTTAAACTCCATCTCTGGGCGCATTCATCCTATTCTCTACATTAAGATCTCTCAGAAATTATACCAATGTTTAATCAACAGATTGAAAAAGTTTTATTGTTCCCAGTCATATACAAAATAAAATATAATTTTTTTTTATCTGGGACCAAATTCAATGAATTGTGTGATTTAAACCGGGGATAGGTTGTTTATTGACCCAGCTAAAATTTATAAAATTCTCAAAAAGTAACTATAGAATTAAACCACAACATTCAGAAGTTGTTTTAAGTATAAATTACCTGTAGAGGTTTGAGTCTTGAGCAGATAACTGTGAAGGTGACAATATCTGAGAAAAGCATTGTCACCATTTCATAGGACTGACAGACCTCCATATTTGTTTTCCCATGAGCCAATTCCTAATAGATTAAATCTTTTAATAAAACGCTTATTATAAAAATTGGAAAATGGGTTTAAAATTATATGCTTGCAAATTCATAGACATTTAATAAGAAAATTTCTTTGGTTTAATAAATATGTCACTATAGTAATCATATTGTTATAATTCTATTAGTTATAATCCACAACATAATAATTTACTTGGTTTAATAAATATGTCACTATAGTAATCATATTGTTATAATTTTATAGTAATAATCCACAACATAATAATTTACTTGGTTTAATAAATATGTCACTATAGTAATCATATTGTTAGAATTCTAAAATCAACAACATAATAATTTACTTGGTTTAATAAATATGTCACTATAGTAATCATATTGTTATAATTCTATTAGTTATAATCCACAACATAATAATTTACTTGGTTTAATAAATATGTCTCTATGGTGATCATATTGTTATAATTTTACAGTTATAATCCACAACTTAATTATTTAATTGGTTTAATAAATATGTCTCTATAGTGATCATATTGTTAGAATTCTTTAGTTATAATCCACAACTTAATAATTTAATTGGTTTAATAAGTATGTCACTATAGTAATCATATTGTTAGAATTCTTTATTTTTAATCCACAACTTAATAATTTACTTGGTTTAATAAATATGTCACTATAGTAATCATATTGTTATAATTTTATAGTAATAATCCACAACATAATAATTTACTTGGTTTAATAAATATGTCACTATAGTAATCATATTGTTATAATTTTATAGTTATAATCCACAACATAATAATTTAATTGGTTTAATAAATATGTCTCTATAGTAATCATATTATTAGCATTCTTTAGTTATAATCCCAGAACTCAATAATTTTCAACCTTCTATCTAAATATATACTTTGTATATATAATCTTATTCTCGTCTAACACCTCCCATATAAATTTTTTTGCATGTTTTTTTTCACTATAATTTCATTTTTTACTCACTGTAGCAATTTGTTTTGGTAGCATTGAATCAATTATATCTTGAGTTTTCTTCATAACAACATCCAACTTTTTCTTTTGTATCAGAACTCCTTGGGCTTTTATTTCTGCAGTCATCAATGCCATCTGCAAAATTTTTTTACAAGTATTTTCAAATTTTTGAGGTTACTGCAGTTAGAGATTGTTATATTTTCCAAGAAATATATTAGATATAAGATGCGAATTAAAACAGATGTGTCATCGTTAATTTTTATATATTAGATCAAATTTTAAAAAATAGGAAATTACCTTAAGTTCAATTTGCTCCTGAGTTTTTGACAACATAATATCTCTTGAGTAATCATGCATACTAGTAAAATTATAAAATTTAAATAATTTTAATTTTTTAAAATTAAATTAGTTATACCTAAGATCGTTTATAAAAAGACCAGACCAAATCAGACTGTTCAAATCCTATATAAAATATTGTTGTTAAAAGTTCATATTTAGTTTAACTAAAATGTTTTTGTTTTGGGTTGCAGTTTTATCTTGAATGGTAAACCATATGTAATACCTATAAAAAGCTTCATATAGGGAAGTTACAAGATTTTTAGCTTAGTTTAGACAGATTTTGACAGTGATACATACAGAACATTAAGTGAAAATTGGTACAGAAAAAATATAGCTTGAAGGAATTGAGTTTTTGTCACAAACTCAGATTTTTTAACTGCTTTATCTTTACAATCAAATGTTATATGTCCTTAATTAGTTCAAATTTTATACAAATTCAGTAATAAAGAAATTAATTTCTTTAAACAAATAAACTTTGCAGCTTAGGATCTGTGTTCACCCAACAGTTAAAAGGATCGAAAAATGTAACGGAACATTCCAACAGTTGCCTTCAAAACATCTAGAGCATTGTGAGGGTTGTTTTAAAGGCAAACTGGAAGAGTGGGTCTTTATTTTTCTTTATTGTTGGCAAAATCATGGGGAGTTATTAGATAATGTTGATCAAAAGAGATCAAATCTTATTCACAATTAATTTAGTGGGAAGTGAAAGAATTATACCCTACTGCAGTGAGGGATGCTTTGTAAGCAAAACTGGTCAATGGAAGTACAATTATTAATTTCTAGAAAAAGTAGTTGTACACTTGTTTTATTGTCTATTTAAATGAAAATGCATGATTTTTCACAGAAACTTTGCAGAGCTCATTTATTTCATTGTCCGAAGTAACTTAAGTTTAATGTCATTCCGATTAGGAAATCATAGGTCAGTTATGCTGGTCAAGGCAGTAAAAGACCAAACCTTCATAATTGGACATGCAAGGAAGAGAATAGAGTTCCATTCTTTTACATACAGCATTTGTCCCTAAAACAAACAGGATTTATGTGATAATTTATTTTTGTGAAAGGAACTGTATGCATATTTCTAAATGTCCATCCATGCAAAGATTGCAATGCCCAATTTTCCTGACATCCTAGGAAGCTTTGTCTGATCATGTATAAAATAGATATCTATGTATTTGCTAATTTGAACTTCATGTTTCTTTTGTGGTTTCTCTGCAAAAGTGACATGCACATGTCTTGCTAAGAGAAAAAATGAAGAAATTAAATACTTTTTGAGCCATAAAAACCGCCATCTTTCACATTTTTGATGAGATTCAGGTTTAAATCGAAGCAAGCCTGCCTGGCTGGTTGGACAACAGGAGGATTTTAATAATTGATTTTTTTACTCTTTCTGAATGATATCATATTACACCGTACAAATGTCTAGAAAGATTTCTAAAAAATGTCTGTACTATACATCTCAGCTCAACTTCCATGTCCAGTCAGACGAGGGGAGGGAAGGCCACCCACACCTGTTTTACCTCTGACCCTCAGATAATGACACAAAACGGGATTTGCAGCATGCGCTTACCCCTATGTAGTCTGACCCTCACTCGTTTTCCCTTCTGGCAAAATTTCTAAATTTGTGTATGCTGATTATAAACAATACAGGATTGATTTAGATTTGTAAAGACATCATGGCATCTACTTTTAAAAAACTTAATCATCAGGTTTTTTGTTTAGAACAGCAGCACATTTACTCGCTGATATAAGCAATACTTTTACAAATTCTGATAAAACAACATTTTAGTATTTGCAGCATTTAAGTCACTCACCCATATGTCTTCTGACCCGCATTTGTATTCATTAGATAAATGCTGTTTATTCTGATTTACTCTTTATCAATACCCTTTCGGTATTAGAAATTTGTATTTTGAAATTATTAAATTTTACTTAAAACCTGTCGAGCCTGCCTGACCCTATGTAAAAGAAATAAAAAACAATTTTCAGACTTGTAAAAGTTGCCTATGCAAATTAAGACATTATGCTGAAATGCAAAACAGATGAGGGTTTGACGGCATGCCGCAAATTCCATTTTGTGACGTCATCTGCGGGTTGGAAGTAAAATGGGTGCAGGTTAACTTTCCTCCCTTCGCCAGGCACTCCCTTTAAGCAAAACATAATAAGGTCGACATAGGCACCTTGATGTGTAGAGTTTTGTCCACATCTTCATCTAATATGTTATCCATGTCAGCACTGCTATACCCACCTGATGATGTACCTCCCTAGAAAAAATAGTCCAAACGTTTTTTTCAGATAATTGTTTTTAACATTTTTTTATCTATTTAATAATTTTTCATTATTGGGTACCGATTATACAATTACCATAGTGTGCCACCTTCTGTGTCATGATTATTACAAAAAAGTGTTTAGAAATGTAAACATTTCTCAACAGCTGTAGCTCGCAACCCACATTTTGTTCACCACCTAGCAGCTGAAAATGGCAACTGTGGTGCTACATATGGTGTAGAAAAATGAATATAAAACTTCTTCAAAAACTTCTACGATTAATCTGATTCTCATTCATTTAAATGGAATGAAGTCAACAGAAACAATTGATTAGTTATATATTTTATGAACAAAAAGTTATAAAACAATAAAAACACTGTCAGGATTATCATGTCTTTAAGGATTCTTGGCCTTCCCTCTCTCCTATGGGTAAGCCTCTCACAGCGCTCAGCATATCATAAAGTGGAGCTATTTCTAGTAGGTCTGCCCAGCTTGATGGTCCAGGCACAATTGATTCATTAAATTTTAATTTTGTACTTTTCCTTGACAGTTGTTTATTTTTCTTCTACTTCAGTTAATTACCATCATGATAGTTTTCAGTGCAATGATGTCCGCTACTTTGGCCATGGAGAATTTTTATGTGAATGTCTTTTTCGGATATCATAATTGAAATGTGTACGGACTACGGTCCAAACTTGACTAACTCATAATTGAAATTTGATTTGTCTGAAAGAAATGTAAAAGTAGTATTTGTAATAAACCATCATGTGTTTAAAGTACATTTTCCACTAGGAATTCTGTTGCGTGGAATTGCGCAGAACTGTGAGGAATTGCGTGCAACTGTGCAGAATTGCACGAAAGTGTTCTCGTGGTGCGTCCGGAATTGCGCGGAAATTACAGGGCCCCTAATATCACGCAAGTAAAGTCTACTCAGGGAGTAAGGAATAGAAGGGAGATATAACTGACGCAGTTCGCCCTACCATATGATTATACATGCTTTGCAGACGAGTACTCCATTTGTATAAGAAGTATTTGTCTGATGTACATTTACTGCGTATACAATGACCTATTCTGAACATTTCATATACAAATGGAGTACTCGTCTGCAAAGCATGTATAATCATATGGTAGGGCGAACCGCGTCAGTTATATCTCCCTTCTATTCCTTACTCCCTGAGTCTACTTGAAAAAACCTAGTTTCAAGTGTTACGGTTTGACTTAGCTTACATTCATATTATGACATTTTTATTGATATTTAAATTGAATTCTCTTATTAATGGTTTATAGAAAAAATCTTACCCCAGTTGCGCACAGTTTATCTATTTCCTCTTGTGAAGCTAATTCAAACATAGAGTTTATTCGGGACAAAATCACCTGAATAGAAATATGGTTTTGATTAGCCAAACTGACGACATTTGTTTTAGACTATACCTTAAAGATTATTGGTAAATGTAAAAAAATCTTTTTTTTAGCTGGATGCATAAAGGTTTCATTTTAGCTGGTCTTATATATCTAAACATCTTTATAAATTTTTTATTATTTTTAAGTTTTTTTTAAGAAAAATCCAATTTTACGACTAAAACAATCTTTAATTGATTGTTGCGATTAAAAAAATGCGTTTTTACTCAACAGTGACAAAATAAAAATTGTTCTATGTCAAATTTAGAGCATTTATATGGCCCGCACTATAAAAAAAAAATCATCAAATTATTGAGATATCTGAGGAAAACTAAGAAAAACATAGGACATACCTCCCATTTAAACTCAACCAAAGGTTTGCAGAGTTCAAACCAGTTAGTGATGTTTTGTCCGACCATTTTTGGAATGATTTGTCGCAGAGCAGCTCCCAGTACAGTTACAGTCAAATCAGACTTAATAAATTAGATAATTGATCACTTTATAAATGAGAATATTGGTTGTTTACAATTTATGTGTTTTTAGAATTGTTTAGAATTTCTAAATACTAAAATCGAAGCACTAAAAAATTTTCCTTACTGAACGTTTCCTCACACAATGGTTCCTTACAAAAAGCTACCTTTCAAATCCTTTCCTTACAAAACGTTCCATTACAAAACGTTTCCTTACTAAATGTTTCCTCGCACAATGTTTCCTGCACAAAACGTTTAGTGGCACTGGCAGAACATGTTTTATGGCAAGAAACGTTTTGTGGATGGAACTTTCTGAAAGGAAACGTTCAGAAAGAAAAGAATTACTTTCGTTTGTTTAGTAAGGAAATGTTCAATAAGGAAACGTTTTGTAGGTGCACCCTAAAATCGCTTACACAATGGGATATCTAACTAGCTCGGGAACCCAGCGCTGCCCGGTGTCCGAATTTAATGGATTTGAACCGCGTCTTAAAAACGCCAAAAACCGGTTTCAATTGATCGCCGGCTTAAATCTTGAAACAATGAATACAATTATTTTAAGTGAAACCAATCATATTTGAGCCGTGGCTTAAATTTAAACTGCAGCTCAAATTCTTTAAATTCGGCCTTTAATTACTAAAAGTTACAACCGTCGTTTATCCGCAATTATACGCGTATTTTACAGGGAAACTAAATTTTCGCTATTTCAGTCGACCCACTCCATTTAGAATCTGAAAACCAAGCTAAGAATATTCCCGTGGATCTCCTGAGTTTTCAATTTGAAATTTGAGGCAAATCAGTCCGGGGGTTCCGTAGTTTTGATCGGACAAACAAACAGACAGACACCCAGACAGACAGAGATTACAACTTAATATATATAGATTACATCGTTATATTTAACTCAAATTATTCACAATTAAGCAATAACCATTCACAATTATTCTATTGTAAACTAAATTTATTTTGGTAAACAGTAAATTTGGAGCATTTTATGGACACACGACTCAAATCATCGATAAAACTATTACATTTCACAATTAATAATAATCCCACATAAATATTATTACAGAAGGAGATGATTCATTTGTTGTACCCTCCTGTTATGCTTTACATACTATGTAATACAAAGTCTTATGTGATTGTGTACTGTAAAACTTGCTTTAGCTGCATAAAAGTTGGCCTGATACTTGAGTTTTCAGTTATCCTGGTAGCTCTCTAGGTTTGTTTGACACACTCGAGCTTAGGCTCGGAGCTAGAGAAACAGCTTCAAAGCCCAGGCTCAAGAGATCAACCAAACCTAGTTGTGTTTCTTCTTTCTTGGTTTTAGTGTTTATTTCTGACTTCATTGAAGGTATTTAAAAATATTGATTTTTCTACAAGATTATTTCCTTATTTCTTTCAACCAGATATTTAAAACTTAGATTACCAGGCTTTCAGGGCGCTTCGGGCCCATCTTTTTTTTCAATTGTGAACATTTTCTCTTTGTATACATTGTAAACCAAAAACAAACAAGAAGTTCGCAGATTTTGTAAAAGAAAATATTTTGCAGATTTTTAAAATTTAATGGAAGTCAAATTTTGTTGTAGGCTAATTGTTTTGATTTTGATCATCCATAAACCTTCCCTGGCGTTATGTGAGGTCCCACACAAAATTTGGGCCGGATAGGTTCAGCCGTTTAGACGTTTATTGAATACAAACAATCAGAAAATACCCAAACAAACAAGCAAAGTATATATTTAGATTATTTGATCTAACAGAATGCATAGTTTGAAATGCCTTCGGTCTGCGACATTGGGTTACAAAGATAAAGCATTAGTAAATTCACAGTTTGATGCAAAATTAATTTTAAGGAGTACACTTCAAAGAAATTTATTTTTGTGTACAATTATATTAGCACAAAATAAGACAATACTTACATTATAAAGAATGCAGAAAGGAAAAATTTCGAAGAGAACATTTGCCCTACAATACAAAAGAAAAATGATTAAGCATACCATTTTATCATAGATAAATACATAAGCATTTAATACATCATATAATTTTTACTATTAGCTTGAAATTTTTCTTTTAATGTTATGGTGTTCAATAAATATTTTTAACTTAGCGTAAATAATAGGGATAAAAATGTTCATTTAAATCTCATCCTTGAACAAAAAGATATAAATTCATAATTTGATCACAGTATGGTTGCAGCAAAACCTAGGAGACTTAATCAAATTCTAACATTTTCAGGTTTGCTTATCTTATTTCTCTGAAAGTCGCCATTTTTAAATGTTTTCAAATTCTTTTTTTTTTTTTTAATTTTTCAACTTCGACGAGCTATAAACCTTTCCTGGGGTTTAGTGAGTTACAACAAAAACTTGGCCCGATTGGTTTAGTTATTTCAAGGTTTGATAGGTAAGCCAAAATATATACAGTCGTTGTTGTATGTCGTATATATCAATACAATGAAGATAACTTTCGATTTAAATTTTTATTCCTACCAAGCTTTGAAACATCATGGATACACATGGAACCATGGAACTGTTAATTATCAGCTGCTCTTAGTTTACTTATAAACAATTGTAATTTGAAAAAAGTGTGTTAGAAATTTAAAACTTAAATAAAAAAGTCGTCTTCATTACGTTTATATACACGTCTACCACTACAAAATGGGAATAAAAGAACCTGAGAGGCATTGAGGAACCTTTTCTAAGTTCTTCATGGGCGCAGAACTCTGTGTAGCCCTTGTTCACAAACTTCATTTCAAATGTGCTCACCACTGTGTCAAACACAACCTTATAGATTTTGGAGATAAAAGCTTTTTTAAGATACAATTTCTAAACAAAGAGATATTTCCAAAAATTTACATTTTATTTCACATACATAACTGTGGAATAGGTAGACGACTGTTACACTCAAGTTGCGATAAAAAACTAAAACCAGCGGTTGAAAGCAAATAAACTATTTCAAATCTTAAACCCGGCAATATTTTAAGAAAACTTTGTTTCATTGATTGAAAGCAAAAAGTAGTTGAAAAATCTAAAATTCAGAGGTTTAAAGCAAAAACCTGTATTATCTCAGCGGTTGAAGTAATTAAGAAGGTTTAAAAAGTGGTTAAAAATGTAAATGAAAAATGTACGAATTTAGTAGTTGAATAATTAGCTTAAATGAAAGAAAAAATATTCTAGACTGCGTAGAGTCTAGGCTAGATCTCAACCGCTCATTCAACCGCTCCTGCTGAGTTTTTTTCTGCAAAGTATATATTGGTTTTAAATAGACCATTCGGACATTATTACTGCAATTGATAAGTTTACCAAAGTAAACCAAGATGTAAACCAAGGTGTAAACCAAGGTGTAAACCAAGGTGTAAACCAAGGTGTAAACCAAGGCGTAAACCAAGGTGTAAACCAAGATGTAAACCAAAGTGTAAACCAAAAATCGGAAATTGTTCTGTTTCCATTATTACTTTAATAACCCTGAGGTTTTAAGCACAAAATAGTAGAAAACGCTAGAGTTGAAACATTAATTTAAAACAAGGAAAATAGTATTATATCTCTTCTGAAATGGAAACAGAAACAAATATGAATAATATCCGTAAGCCGCCCTAAACCGGAATTTCGGTAAAAACTCTTGATAGAACCAATGGTAGATCATATCAGATTCCTTTCCAATTTGTTTTAAACTACTCTTTAGGGCGTTTCATCATTAACAGTTTTAGCTCTGAATGTCGCCATTTTGAATTGTTTTCACATTTTGCGGACTTTTTTGTCTGAATTGGTGCATTTTCCAAACCAATTTTTTTCCTGGGTTCATGTGAGTTGCCTCAAAAAATGATTAAAATATTATTGCATAGTGAATATATACCTCTTGTTTCTTGAGACTAATCTCCAGCTTTTCAATCTCTTTAGCAAAGTTTTTAGAAATCTCTTTCACTTGTCCCTGGACATAGTAATGGAAACCTCTACGCTTGCTCCTTAACAATACAACTGCTGTAAAAGTGTTTACATGGAGTGTGTGAGAGTAGAATGTTTGTTTAAGTCTTAGTTATTGAATAATTTTATAAAAACAGATTCTCAATATCTCCCCTTAACACGAATGATATGGCTCAAATGAATACTAAAAAGATTCTTTACAATACTGGATTCTCAGCTCAACTACGTTGTCTAGCCAGACACTCACTTTAAACTTTAAAGGTTATTTATGCAATTTTATTTCAACAATTGCTTAAACGGACTGTATACAATCTTTCAAGTGACCCTCCATGTAAAGCGACATGTCCCGGTCCGATTAACTTATTTTTTAGCATTTGTATTTCACACCGTAAAACTCCAATTCGCCGAAGGAACTTAATTTTCAGTTGAAAGAAAATGGATATCTCCGAAACATCAGGAATAGGTTTATTAATCAGACATGTCACTTACAAATGGATGTTAACATAAAATTACGTTTACAGTCCCTTTAATGCACATCGGGAGCAACATTTAAATGTTTATAGTTTTTAGTAAAATTTAGATATTGATAAAAGTTTAAGCTTTTAACCTGTTGATACTATTTACTTATATAACCTTTAGGTAAAGGTTGCCACTGTAAACTACTTAGTAGTTTATACTTTTTAAATATTATATTAAAAGAAAAATCTATCCCAATTCTACAAGTGAAAAAAGTAACAATAAAGCATGGCCGGAGGGGGTAAGCATTTTAGAAAAGCAAATTAAAGATGAACATTTTCAAAATATAATTTCTGGAATTTAACACATTTTGGAGATACAACTTACCTGTATTCTAAAATCATACCGGTATCATCCTCGTGTGCTATAAAAAAGCTCGGAGCTCTCATTCTGTCGCAGATCATTAAACTTTAATTCTCAAGGGACAATAAAAACCATTATTTATTATTATTATTTTCCTCCCACCAAACGTTTCCTGCCACAAAACGTTTCCTGCTACAAAAGAATTCCTGCTACAAAACATATCCTGTTACAAAACGTTTCCTGCTACAAAACACTTCCTGATACAAAATGTTTTCTGCTACAAAACGTTTCCTGCAGCTACAAAACATATCATACTTCAAAACGTTTTCTGTTACAAAACATTTCCTGCTACAAAACGTTTCCTGCTACAAAACGTTTCCTGCCACAAAACATTTTCTGCTACAAAACGTTTCCTGCTACAAAACGTTTCCTGCTACAAAACGTTTCCTTACAAGCATACAAACAAAATTGTATTTGTATGAAATATAAGATTTCTTATTTTATGATCCCTTTGAAAGGTATATTTGAGATAATCATGTAAATTATCCAGATTTACGAAGAAGTCTCTGAAGTTCCTTCCAACACTCTAAAATTTAAATATAATTGACATTTTCAATGTTGTTTTAAAGGCAAGAATAAATGTTAAAGGGACTGTAATGGAAAAATGAAAGGGGGTAGGATGAAACCTGATAATCTCAGACGTTAAACGGTACATATAAAACATAAGCAATATCGTTGCAGTCACGTAATACAGACGGAAATCATGTGACCAGCATACTGCACTGCCATTAGCTGAAGTTCCCGGTGACGTAATACGGACTATACGGACTATATCTAATAATATTATCAATTATATCTATTAAAAATGCAAAATAAAAAAATATCATTATAATAGGAGTAAACCTGAGATTCTCAGGCTCCTGTGGGATATCGTCGTTTTCAGATTGGTTGCGTATTTGTTGAATATTATCTGTTTAATATGTAAAACTACAACTTTTATATTAAATTGCAAATATATGAATTTTCGTATAAATTTGACACAGTTTTACATCAATTTCTCGAGACAGGAACATCAGATAAAGATGTCTTATAGGTAAAATTGAATAGTTAATTGCACCAGAAGACCTATAAATAATTTTGTCCGCGCATCTGTATACATCCTTACAGTAAACGCACCTTTAATAAAATGTTGTGTCAAAATAAAAAATCATATTTTGAAATTATTTTGATTTTTCACCTGGAGCATCTTCCCGTAGCCCAGGTTTGTTGCCAGAGCAATGAAATAAACTCCCATCCCCTCATAGAACTCTTCATCCTAGATAATAAAATATACTCCCATCCCCTCATAGAACTCTTCATCCTAAATAATAAAATATACTCCCATCCCCTCATAGAACTCTTCATCCTAGATAGTTTGTTTTCTCAAAGGGACTGTGTGCGTAATTTTAAGTTTGACCCGCCTTGCAAAGATGGTTCTTTTTCACAATAATAGTACATACTGCTTTAAACAAATACTTTTTGAAGTAGGATTTATTAAGAGATGTAGTTGAACTGCGTGCAACTGGCTGAACTACTAGCCACGTTTGACTTAACAAATTTTTATAATTGTTTTGATTCGATGGAACTTTTTCATCTTAATCATCATACCTTTTCTTTGGCTCCCAACACTTTTATTGCCACTTAAGATGTTTTCCCTAAGCTCCCACCACTTTTATTGCCACTTAAGACATTTTCACTTAGTTCCAAACACTTCTTATTGCCACTTTAAGACATTTTCCCTAATCTCCCAATCCAACACTTGTATTGCCACTTAAGACATTTTTCCTTAGCTCCAAACACTTTTATTGTCACTTAAGATATTTTCCCTTAGCCCCCAACACTTTTAATGCCAATTGAGATATTTTACCTTAGCTCCCAACACTTTTATTGCCACTTTTGCCATCTTTGAGATCTGCCCTTCAGGAAATTGCTCGGAAATTATAAACTCATCCTACATGTGTCCTGCTAAACAGCTGCAAATAAAATTGACAACAGATATAATTTTGATCTAGTGACCCTCCATTTAAAAATTTAAAAATGTCCGATTTACAACGGTGCTATTTAAACCTTTGTCACAATAAGAATAAGTACTACATTAATCATTTTAAACTGTGGCTTCTCTGTATACGCATATATTAGAGACAATGTTGGAAATTGTTAAAATTCAACATTTTTAAAACAATCAAATCTTTCCAGACAAAAGTTTAAAGGGTACCATTGTGAATCGGAAATCTCTAAATGGAGGGTCACTATTATAGATTTTGAAAAAGTATTTTGAATTAACATTATTGACTTTCTAAAATGTCAATTGAAATCTATGAACAAAGAAATGTGTGATTTGAAAATAAAAACAAAGTTTTTTTTATTTGCGCCCTCCCCCATAAAGGGAGTGACCGGCTATGTAAGGTAGTAGAACTGAGTATGCAGTGTTGTGAAAAACTTCTTTCAGATTCATTTGAGACATATAAAACTTTTTAAAGATCTGTAAATCCTGAGTTTGAGCACAAATTCGACGTTCAAAACTCCTACTTTGGGGGTGGATACGTTTTCAGAATTAGTTTTTTTAATTATTAAATAACGACAACAAAGAATAAAGTAAAACTTATACAGTTATCTAATTAGATGGTTAGGAACATATTTCACAAAAGAAATTTGTCAATAAATCATTGCTAGAATCGATTATTTCGTTTTCATTATTTTATTGCATTTCTAATTTTCTTTGAATTTATTCGCAGATTTCTTTAAATTTTTCAAATGTCGTCTTTTCAATAATATTTCTAGAAAGTCTGCGAAAATCTTTGTGAATAATGAGAAACCAGAATAATGAGATAATAGAAACTAATAATTGAACAAGATTACTTATTTTCGATGATAAGATTAATCTTTATTTGTTCAACATGTTCCTTTACATGACGTCCGTAGTTAATTGTAGAACTTTTTACATTTTATGTCGTCGATATTCAATAATCAAAAAAAACTAATTCTGGAAACATATCCACCCCCAAAGTAGGAGTTTTGAACATCGAATTTGCGCTTAAACTCAGGATTTACAGATCTTTAAAAAGTTTAATATGTCTCAAATGAATCCGAAAGAAGCTTTCCACAACACTGCATACTCAGTTCAACTACCTTACAAAGCCGGTCACTCCCTTTAATGAACACTAATTTTTTTCCAGTGTACCGTACATCTATACATATAAAGTAGATATTTCTGTTTGTTTGATAGTTTGTATATCCGATCATAATTCAGGAACCCCATGACCGATTTGCCTCAAATTTTAATTCAAGACCAAGCGCTGGTAAACAGAGGGAGTAACTATGACTTTTGAGTAACCTGGGCAACGCTGTACACTTCATTTATAATCTTCATATTCATTAAAGGGAGTGTTTACGAAAATTATAAGGGGGTATAGGCTTGCCGCGAAAAATAAGCGCTTTTGATTGCTACTATATTACTTCTATCTGTTGCGTCTATAAGGATATTACAAACAATAGTCATCGATTATTTTTCGATGCATTCGTAAATAAATGATATTTCATAATATTTTGAATTTTTCATGATCTGAAAGTTACTTTTGAAAACATTTATACCTGTTTCGAGGATTTTTGATAATGAAGACGACATTTTCATATTTACCAGGAATGTTCGAAAATCCAGCGCCAGCGAAAATGATTTTAAAAATCAAAATCAAAAATATTATGAAATATTAACTATATACGAATGCGTCAAAAAATAATTGATGATTACTGTTTGTAATATCTGAATGATTTATTTGGAATTAAATTGATTTGTTTACGATCCGAGGTGAATGTTGCATCTTTCCAAATTTGTATGGACGCTAGGTTCTTCGGTGTGAGTCGTTTTTAACAATTTTCTCAGATGCAGCGGATAGAATTAAGATTAGTAGCGATCAAAATCGCTTATTTTTCGCCGTAAACCTATACCCCCATTCATTTTTCGTGAACACTCCCTTTAATTTGATAGATATACAGTTTTTAGTTAGAAAAAAGTTTCAGATAATGTAAATTTTTGATGTTAAGTTTTCCTAATGTACTCTACCAAGTTTTGCAGTAAAATACCATACATTTTGATCTTATAGGAATATTAAAAATACAGCAAAAACAAAAAACTTCGGGAAAATGTCGTCTTTGATATTTCTTTCGCCAAAGAAATGGAGCAATATGTTCCTTTTTTGTACTTGTTTGCCTGAGTTTTAATTCACATATCGCTTAGATCGTTTTGATAAGAATTGAGTATAGAACTAGACAATTATACCTTATATAGAGAAAAGTGGGGGGGGGGNGGGGGGATGGGTCGAGAGTAAGAGCCCATGCTATAGAAAGAAAGCTAGAGAGGGAGGGGAGGAATCATGAATTGGATGATGTATGGCTTGGATATGAAATAGGTATTAGGCAATGCAACAGCTATTTTTATTTTATAAGCCTAAAGTTTAAATAAAAAAAATCAATTACAGAACATGACTTATACATGTTTTAACTAATAAACAAATAACCTGCTCTATGAAGAAAAAATTTGTCGGGGTGTTATCAAGTAATTTTTGAAATTTCGAATTACAGACAAATGAACACGTATTTAATGGTTAGAGACGTATCTTTTGAAACCCATACTTAACATGTTCAAACATAACTAAAAAATTGTCTTTCTATTTTGGTCTTTGTTTTTGTTTTTTTAATCTTTAACTGAATGAGTTTTGAATTGTTAAGGAAATTTGCTTCTAATTGGCTACTGTTTAAGTTTGTGCTGATGCAAAAAAATAATTTGTCATTTTGATGTTCATTCTTACTTTAAAGATTTTCTGTTATTTGTGCAATACAAACAATGGTTCAAAGGGTACCATTGTGCATTGTCTATGGCGCTTTGTAAATTAATATTATATATTCAAGGGAATATATCCTACCCCTTCAGCTCCTTTATTGAGTTTTTATAATAAGTCAGAATTGAACATGAAATTATTAGATTTGATAGGATAATTTCATGCTAGATGGAAACTATCTTTTATATTTATATTTAACAGATATTTCATGGGACAGGACATTCATCTTAACCATGATTTATTATTTATACAATATTATATGTAACAATGTAATAACTGGAAACTAGACAGAAGGAGAAGGCGACATCACTGGGACATCTTTGTGATATTGTAGCTCCTCTAGTTTTCATTTTACACTAAAATATTAGAGAGAGCAATTTATTCGAATACATATTACAAATTAAAAACATTAATTTTTTCTCATTACAGTACAGTACAGTACAGTACAGTACAGTACAGTACAGTACAGTACAGTACAGTACAGTACAGTACAGTACAGTACAGTAAAGTACAGTACAGTAAGGGTGAAACTATTATAAATGTCAAATCCTTTTTGCACAAGGAAAAAATTATACAATATAAGTAGCATTTTTAGAAGAAAAAAACATTTAAAAATCCAAACTAATTCAGTAATTAACGATTATAAAAAATGCAGATTATTAGGTCGTTTTTTTCAATTTTATCTAAAATCAACAATCAAAATTTTAAAAATGTACAAAAAATATCATAAGTGAGATATAAAATGGACATAACTTGTTTGATCTACTTTTATATTGGGAATTCGTTTGTTGATTTTTTATTTAATTTTGTATAAATTATTTTAAAGCAACATCCCTCACAATTACTGGTTTCAATAGAGCTGGGCAAAGCTACATTTCTATTTTAATTGTAATATGCGTGTTTTACAATATATTTCTAAATTAAATACATTTAGTCTTTACCACAAATTATGATTTTATAATCCCTATATCGTTGCCTACCAATGTTGTAGACCTAAGATATTTCAAACTATGAATTATGTAGCATTAAATAATAAAATAATAAAAGTTTGAAATACACTGTTGCATGCAAAGATTAAAAGGATTAGAAAATTTAAATTTGGGACAAAAACTCAAATTTTTAAATAATATTTAGGATTTTCTCTTTGTGTAAATCATAGAAAACAAGAACAAAAAGTTCGCGGATTTAATAATATCTTTTTGAGGATTTTAAGAATGAGCCCGATCAGTTCAGCAATTTTGACGTTTATCGGTTACAAATAAACAGACAGACAAGCAAAGCATAGAAGTTTAACTGGGTTTCCAATTTTTTCCTGTTTGCGCGAACTTCTGTTTTATAGTTCAGATTTGTTAAAATCCATAAACCAACCCCAGAAAGTACATTTAACATTTTAATTTGACATAAACCTCTAAATTTTGTGCTTTGTGGGATTTGTTGTACACAAAACACTGTCGAGTGTCGACTTATTTCATTATGAGCATAGATTTTATCTGTTAAATACTATTTTTTTGATGTTCGCTAGTTTTGCATTGTTTCTTGATAAACGGTTTATTCTTTAATTAAATATTTTTCTGAACAAAAAAACGGTCGTTTCACATTCGTCATTCTCAATAAAGGAGATGAGATTTTGCCACAAACTTGGTTTTGCAATCTTGTTGTATAGACCTTAGATTTTTCAAACTATGTATTCTGTTAGATCAAAAATAATATAAATTTGAAATATCAATGTGGTTTACACTACAGGTTGCAAATATATAGGAATTAACAAAATCAGAGTTTGTGGCAACAACTAAATTCCTTTGACTTAGACTTGCGGATTTGATTTATATGCAGCAGGACTATTTATACATTTTCAAAATTATTGATCAGACAAAGAGCTAGTAGGTCTGGTAACAGTAACACTGTGAATTGACCTTTTACTCAGGGTCATTTAAAATTTTGCCTACGGACTTAATATACAAACTTGATATTTAAAACTTGATAAATAGTTATTCCCATCTCTAGCTGTCTCTGGGAATTCTCTTGGATTCCCATATGCTCCCGCACCCCACCACACATGTTGGGGTTAAAGCTAAAAATACATAGATAGATAGATAGATAGATAAACAGATAGATAAATAGATAAATAGATTGATAGATAGATATATATGGAAAGATAGAGTTTATTAGATTTTACTAGTTTTTCCCAGTATATTTATTTATGCTCAGTTCTAACATATTTTGTGTTCAGCAACAAAGTTCCACAAACTTATAATTTTAATAAGCATTATAATTACAATAACAACCTAATACAGTGATAACCACTAAACTTTAAAATAGGAAGACGACTTAATCAAGTTATAACTTTTAAAAAACCAATGAGTATGAGAAACAGCAATTGTGTAGTGTAAACACTAAACAGACCCATCTCACTAAATTAGTGATTTAATAAGTGTCTAGTAAAACTATTTGCTATGTAACACCAGCAAAAACATTTTATTATTATATCGTCGTCTTCAAATTTCTTTTTTTCTGGTTATCACTGTATGATATGTTAAGTTGTCACTGAGTAGTGTTTTATGCATCTGTGCTCACGTATATCCAGTCAAGTAGATCTTTTGTATCTAATATCTGTAGAGGGAACAATTTCTCATCTCCAATTTTTAGTGCTTCTTATAATTAAATATAATTGAACCCTCATTTTAGGAAGACTGAAGAATATTTATACTTTAATATTTCATAAATTTGATTTCTTCCATCAACGAAATCAAAAAAAAATCTGTGGCATTTTTTAGTTTTATGAATATCAACTAAATAACTTAATATACAATTTCTATTTGATTAATTTATTAAAATCTTCAGTTTTTAAATTCTATGCTCAAAATTTCAATTTTCGTCAATTAGCTTAAAAAGTTACGTTTTGCGTAATACTTACGGTTTTGCGCAAATTGTGCAAAAAATGCCAAAATTCTTTTCGTTTCATTTGCAAAAATTTGTAAAAAAATATTTCGAACTTTTCGCAAATTGCGCAAAACCGCTCAAAAAATTATTGCGTTTCATACAAAAAATTGCACAAAAGTTCGCAAAAAAAAAAATTTGCGCGAAAATAAAGTCATTTCGTGAAAACCCTGCAAATAGGTCAAAAACAAATAAAAGCGAAAGTGGAGTACATCATATCATCGTTGACACATTTCGTGTATAGTGTATACCAGATTGTATACCAGATTGTATACCAGATTGTATACCAGATTGTATACCAGATTGTATACCAGATTGAATATCAGATTGTATACTAGATTGAAGTTTTCTAAATATTTGAAAAATATTAACCTAGAGAAATATGATGTTTAAAAGTTTAATATTAGTTGCTGCATTAGTTCCACTGTGCTCTGCAGGGTTCAGGTAAACTCAAATAAGAAATGTCGTCTTCTGCAAAATATTATTTAATTTTTATATATTACTGGCTTATGTGACCCCCCGGGTACCCACGGTTTTCCTCAAAAAATGTCAGCCAATTTGGTCCATCCGTTTATCCAACTATAGCTATCATATAAATATGTTAGCGAAGAACTTTATAATATAGATGTATATTAAATACACTTATGAGTATCAAACAAAATCATTGTGCTAGAATGAAAGTGTTTTTTTATACAGTGATAACCAGAAAACAATGGGATAGGAAGAAGGCATAACATAAATACTTGATGTTGTTACAAAGAAAATAGTTTACTAGACACTTTTTAAATTACTAATTTAAATAAATGGGTCTGTTTACACTGCTCAATTGCTGTGTATTATGCCCATTGGAGTTTTTAACGTATAAGTTGATTCTAAAAGTCGTCTTCCTATTTCAGAGTTTTCTGGTTATCACTGTTGGAAAAGTTATAATCAGAATCTGCAAAACCAGATAAAAGATAAAAGATAAAAGATAAAAGATAAAAGATAAAAGATAAAAGATAAAAGATATAAGATAAAAGATAAAAGATAAAAGATAACAAATAAAAGATAAAAGATATAAGATAAAAGATAAAAGATAACAAATAAAAGATAAAAGATATAAGATAAAAGATAAAAGATAACAAATAAAAGATAAAAGATAGTGTATTTATAGTTTATGCGTTCAGTTGCTAAATTTTATGAATTTTAGGTAGGTCGCAAATCTACCTACCGCTACCAACCCCCTTAGGTTCAAATCTTGTGTTTCAAATTTTTAAATAAAATTTGTTTTCTCAAAATGCTTCAACATTCGTTTCTCCCCTCTCAATTAGAAATCTTTTGGAACGTATTTTATTTTTTTAGATGTACTTTTGGGAACTGGGCCTGTACAACTGGGTGTGTTTTTCTAGGACAGACATCAGGTTTCATACAGTAGTTCCTAGAAAACAGTGGACTAAATTTCCTACAGTAGTTGCTAGAAAACAGTGGACTATTTTTCGTCTTTCTTCTTTACTATATAATAATTCATTAAAACTAACATATAAAGATAGTTATTTCAGAGGTGTACACATTTTTAGTACTGCAGTGTACTGTCTATTGCTTTTATCCTCCTCGGATACTAGCAGGACACTGATGCATCTATTTTTGTTTACAAACACCGCTCAGAGAGAACCATGGTTTCAATATGTACGCAGAGAATACGCAACAGCAATTAACTCTCCTTGCCTTATAACCTTGAAGCCAATCATTTCATTGTTTTCTAGTTACAACAGTCTGAGTACACACAATTATGAAGTACAATTACACATTAGGATATATACAACTATTAAGTTAAATTTACCAGGATGTAATAAAATCAGGCAATTCGGTAAATTAAGAAATCTAAGAGATCATAATCTTAAAAATTTACCAAGTTTTGGTAAATAAATATGTATTTACCAAGTTTTGGTAAATAAATATGTATTTTTGGAGTTTTTGGCCTGAGCTTATAACGACTGGGGTAAACTATTCTTAAAAATTGATTTTATGGGAAAGTTGTAAAGAGCTAAACGTAAGCGTAATTTAAAGTGACCCTCTATGAAAGGATGACAATGCTACATAAAGCTTTGTCTGATCAGGCATAATGAATTTGTTTGAACTATTTATTTTCATTTTTGGTTTCTCTGCAAAATTGTGCTTTGTGCATTTCTTGCTAATAAGAAACAATGGGAAAATTTACAGAAATGACACTTTATGAGTCAGTAAAACGACGGTATTTTTCAGATTTTTGATCGGAAAAAGGTTACAAGGGTACTGTAGTAAATAGTAATTGCTATCTTAGCATGGAGGGTCAACTCAAATTATGCTTACAGTCCCTTAAAATTCAAATTATGCTTACAGTCCCTTAAAATTATGCTTACAGTCCCTTAAAAAATTATGCTTACAGTCCCTTAAAATTATGCTTACAGTCCCTTAAAATTCAAATTATGCTTACAGTCCCTTAAAATTCAAATTATGCTTACAGTTCCTTAAAATTATGCTTACAGTCCCTTAAAATTCAAATTATGCTTACAGTCCCTTAAAATTATGCTTACAGTCCCTTAAAATTCAAATTATGCTTACAGTCCCTTAAATTTCAAATTATGCTTACAGTCCCTTAAAATTAGTTCTTAACCAAGGTGTGTGTGATGCTAACTGGGATTGTCATTGCTCTGAGAAAAGTATCAGTTTAAACAGCTTCAAGAGACTTCTTCCCTCCAGATGTCTTCTTGGAGATTCTTTCTGCGAAGTAAGTATAAACATTTAAAATGTTGATTTTTTTCATTTGTTCATTTACCCTTCGATCCATTTTGTTCAATTTTTGTTAGTTCTCAAAACGAAAATTCATTTTCCTTCTATTTTGTTCGTTTTCTCACTGAACAATCAGTAAAAATTGTTCAATAAAATTGTTCGTTTAGTAAAAAAAACAATATTTTTTTCAAACATGTGTTAGCTAAAATTTTTCACGAAAAAGTTTTTTCTTTCTCAAAAATTTTGTTTGCTCAAAAAATAATGCACATCTTTAGTGGTTACCAGATAACTGTGAAATATTGTTTATATTAGATCTAATTCTTTAAATTAATAAATTTTAGTAAGGTTTTCCATATTTGTTATTGTTAAAATTGATATATTTTTAAAGACTTTCTTGTTGTTTTGCCACAAACTCAGATTTTCAAACCTCTTTATCTTGGCAGTCTGCTGATGGATACCTTTGAAATTTCAAAATTAAACTATTTAATCTAGCATTAGTCTTAGGTAGAAATATCAAAGATCTACAACATCGGGTTGCAAAGATTATGTGATTAAAAAATTGTAGTTTGTGGAATTCTGCAGTTTTGTGCGAAAAAAATACAAGAAGTGCAAAGAATGTACAGTTTTGCACAAATTTTTTGCAACAGTCCGTTGAAACCATAGTATAAATACATTTAATATTCAAGGGAACTTGTCACGCCATGGGTCGTAGCAATGGAACCTGTAAGGATAACAACTGTTCCTGCTCTAATACCTATCTCACTCCCAGTGAGTTCCTTCTCTGTGCAGCGGAGTCCACTTGCAGAACTCATTGTCAGGTAAAAGGAATTGGTTGTTTTTTGTTGTAGCCATTATTGCTCTAAAGAAGAGTATGTGGACAATTGACATAGATATTAAGGGATAAAAATGAATTAATAAACTATTTTGGCGGATAGCAATAAGACGAGGATTTAGATAACGACTAACTATATTTTTAAATATAAAGTTACAAAGTAGAAAATATATATATATGACGTGGCTTCTAGAAACTCCTCTATTCTTCTCCCTGCCGCGAAAGGTTCTTCCTAGGAAAGACGACTTTCATAGCCGCCACACTATACCCTCTTTTGACCAGAAATATTTCTAAAGAAGTTTTATTTGTTTCTGAATAATTTAGAAGTGTTAACAATTTCTAGATGTAAATTGCTAAATTAGTACACTCTCTTTCTGAACGAGATAATAAACATTCCAAGAGTAGGGTTTCCAATCGGAATTCTGTTGCGCGAAATTGCACGCAACTGTAGGGCTGGACACGTTCCAACTTTTTCTAGCAGTTCTGTTAGCAGTTCCAACCGTTAAAAAAGTAAAGAAAGTAAAAAAAAGTATGAACAGCACTTACGTTCATTAAATGCATTTACCGTTTTTTTAAATTACTGCTAGTCAACGTTTTAAATTTTATTAGCAGTATTGACGGAAAATTTTCAACAACCGTTAACAGCGCCAGTCATTAACGGTTTAAGAAATCGTAACGGCGCAAATCACTGAAAACAATTTGTTTAACAGTTAAATAAATTGTTAGCCTTTTATGAAGTCGTTAAAGTGTGAAGTGGCGAAAACAATGTTTGTTAACGGTTAAATAAATGTTTACGGCACATTTGTTAGCAGTTAAGAAATTGTTAGCGGTTAAGAAACCATTAATGACGCAGCCGTTAATGGTCTACTACAATAGACAAAATTTAACAAATTTATTAAGCAGTTAAATAAATTGTTATAACAGCCAAAAAGTTGTTAGCTATTAAGAAATCGTTAGGGGCGCAGTGATTAACGGTTAAGAAGTTGTTGATGGCCCAGCCGTTAACCGTCTACCACATAAGACGACATTTAAAACCTTCAAAACACGGAAATTCTTTTTTTACCAGTTAATTGCGATTTTTTTACCAGCTAATCTTTTTTTTCAAAAACGGCTAAACCCTTCTGTTATTTTTTTTAAAATTAACAGTTTTTGCCGTTGGTTAACATACACTTCAGTTAATTTTCGAAAACCTCCATTCCGTTACCGTAACTTTGCACAGCCCTTAACAATGAGCCCGCAATTGTGTGCAAGTAAAATACTTGCATTGGAAACCCTACCCACGAGTTAGCTATACTCTTTTTTGTCAGAAATCTCTCTAAAGAAGATTAATTGTTCTAGGCTAATGGAAGCGCTACCGGAGTTTGCCTTGGTTGGTCCTGCGAGTGCAAATCTTCAGAAGCTGAAGCAGGTTCTGCATTGGAGGTTCTTATGCAGAGGATGAACTAGACTACAAATGCTGAATTTAAAAATGAAAAAAACTTGTTTATTCATTTAATTTAAAATTTTAATAAATAATATGCAATTTGATTTAAACATTTGAAACACTTTTCATTCAATAATTTAGCAGATCTAAGTTTTACTTATTAGAAAAATCCCTGTGCGTATTTGTAGAAACTAAAATAAAGTTAATTTTACACTTATTTGATGTACTCTTTATTGCAATTATCGCTTTACATCATCTGTGCGATTAAAGAATCTTCAAGAAATAAAAGAAAAGATTTTAGTCTTTGCCACAAACTCAAATTTTCTAATCCATGTATCTTTGCAACCTGAGATGGATTTTAAAGAATTTGAGTCGCGGTTTAAATCCGCCAAAACCCGGTTTAAATTGAACGCCGGCTTAAATCTTGAAACATTTGATACAATTTTAAGTGGAACCAACCATATTTAAACCGCGGCTTAAACTTAAACCGCCGCTCAAATTCTTTAAATTCGGCCACTGATGGAGTAAACCCTTGATGTTTCAAACCTAGATTATTTGATCCTTTGATTGATTCCTTTAACTTTGCCCTAAATACAGAAGATCCAAGTTTGAGAGACAGAAAACCTGCCAACTGCAATCAAATTTCTGAAGAAGCTTGTGGAGTAGCTCCAGTTGTTCAGCCGGATGAGGATTACTTAAATGAAGAAGGAATAAGTTTTCCATATTTAAGCTCTTATTGAAAACATCCTAATGATATTGATTTTCTCAGTGTTAATGCAGGATGCTCTTTAATTGTCCTTTTCTGGTACAGGATTTTTGGGATAAATGAAACTTTTTAGACCAGTGGTGGGTGTTGAGTGAGCAATGAGCTTGCAGAATTCAGTCCTCTTAATGAAAATATAGAATCTATATTTAACATGTGTAATAAAACATTTAAATGTCTACTTTTTACAAGGTAAATTATATAATTATGCTATGCAAATTATTCATTAGATACAAATACACGTTGATGAAAAAGCAATGGTAACAATTGAAAATTTAATACCCTAAATGAGATAATTCAGGAAAATTAATATCCACAAAAAGATGAACAAGACAACAGAATTGACTAAATGACTGCCCAAAAATTATATGACTGAACTAAAGATAAAAATTTAATTTGTTTAATGTTTATTTCAGATCAATCTGAAAAATTAATAATGATTAACAATAAATAAATACAATAAATATTTTTGAATCAAAAAGTAGATACATCAAATAATCAATAAATAATAGGTAAATTAATCAAAAAGGGTTAGAAATTACTATTTTTGTTTTGTCTAAGTTAGATACCTACTTAAAAATAATTCAGTTTCTTTAAAAAAAAAAACACTGTCTTTGTCTTTTCTCTTAATATAAAAAGAGAAATTGTACAAAAGGAGCTCAAACAGTGTTATGAAAGTTTTTCCTTACATTCAAATTTTAGAAGTAAAATGAAGGGTTGTAGCTGAAAGATGCTACTACATCTAGGGTTTCCTGTATGTAAGTGAACTTTTGAACAAACATTTTTATGCAGTTACGCAAAAGTAGACTTTTTTCATACGCATAAATGATTGTAGTTTAGTGTAATGCTCTTCCTTGAGTAGCAGAAATTATTTAAAATAATTACGGGAACCAAAATCTTGACTAAAAATTTAAAAAAAAACTAATCAGCTGTTGAGTTACCAGCAGAACAGGGTCAACTCGCCACTCTGCCATGTGGTCACAGTTTGCATCTAAAATGATTTTTATTATTTTTATCGATATTATTTAAACTTATAGTTAGATTCAAGATGTTTGATGAAATATTTTTTGGCAAATGGTAGCTTAAAAGATTTATTTTTAATTTAAGAAAGAACAAACAAGCTATTTATATAAAAAATAACCCAGATTCATAAACACTTGATAATTTCACAAAAATTATTATTTTACACAAATGAATATTAGCGTCTTCAGCCAATCTTCATTAGTTTCAATATTTTCTGGAGAAGTAAACAATAAAACTAAAACCAAATGATAGCATTTAATTTTCCCTGAAGTTGCCCAAAACTAAATAATGTCAAATTTTGAACAAAAATCAAACTCTACCTTTTGCATTTTTTCAAAGTCCAGACAAGGCCTGGACAAAAGGTGAACTTTTCGAGATTTTTTCCTGGGAGAGATAATTTTTCTTTCCGTTGTTGAATTTAGTGTTTCCTCCAATTTTACAAGGTTATCTTCTAAAAAAATTTCAAAAATTGTTTTATGTATTCTTTGATTTTAGTTAGATAAACAATTAATTACTTCACTGCATGTTGAAAAATACTCCCTATATAAAACAATACACAATTTATATTTTTTTTTTATTTTGTAGAAAACTATTTTTTTTCATAAACCCATAGATTAAATAAAATAATAGATAGGACACTAGATGTCATCTTTTCAAGATTTTGATGAAACGTGTTCACAATAACCCTGAGAAAGGAGCCCAGAGGAGTTTCGCACAGTCGGCGTAGAATTACAAGACAGTGAGAGCTGACTGCGGAAACCCCTCCATGGGCTTCGGCCTCATGATTATTGTGAAGGAGTTTAAAAGACGACATCTAGTGTCCTATCTGTTATTTTAATTAGTCTTTGGATAAACTTTTCAAAAATATTGCAGTGCCATTTTGCCAATGTTGCGCCCTGACGTTCCTAATTATGTATGGACAACCTTTGACCCCTTAGTGACGAGACCATAACTATTAGAGAAGTTGTTTTAGAAGGATCTTGTCATAACAAAACTTGATTGTACTCATGAAAAAAACAATATTAAATTAAATTTTTAAAAAAATTTTGTACAGGGTACCTGTACCTGTACCTGTAAAACATGAAAATCTAAAAAACTTTGGTAATTCATAATTATTTAATTATCTTCAAAACTTTACTTTTCATGTTTTAGTTATTTAAATCTTTAAAAGAAGTTTCCAAACATATCTTTAAATTTTTTCTAGCAAAAATTGATATTTTTATAGATTCAACACTAAATTTTAGGGTATTCTTCCGAATTCAAAATCTTGTTTTTTGGGGTTTTTTTAAATTGAAAATTTAAAATAAAACCCCAATGTTAAAGTTACGTCAAATATAAAATATGTTTTATAAACAGGAAAGCGCAGGAAAAGACAGGACGACATTTAGTTTAAGAATAAAGGCACTTAAAAAAAACCTCACCCGGTCAAAATTGACCTAGCTTCTCCTTACTAATGGACTAATGGGAAAAGGAATGTTGAGCACCCTCTTCGTATAGAAAGTTACAAAATAAAAGTGACCCTGAAAGATTGCAGACAGGTTTCATTGAGACACTAAAATCAGCTCAACTATAGTGTTTACAATGAACCATAGCAGTAGCTATGGCTCTTTGCTTGCATTTAGATGTTCACAATAAAGTAATAATCTTTATCTGAGAAAATTCTCATCTAAATGTATTTCTAATCTTACAAACAATTATATACTGTAAAATCTTTATAAATATATTTACCTTTAGCTTCATTAACCCCTGTAATTCTTCTAAGAGCTGAAGAGAGCTGAACGCCATTAGAAGCATGGATAGCTTGCTGATTATTAGTCAACTGTAGCGGATGCTGATTATTGGTCAATTGGTGCTGATGCTGGTTATCGGTCAGTCTATGCCTGTTGCTGAAATCCAATCCTGCTATCGGCACAACTGGGGAGTCACATTGTCTAAAATCAAAATCAAAAATCAAAATAATGCCAAGAACTGCAGACCGCTTCTCATGCAATCCAAATGAAAAAAGAAAAAATCATAGCGGTTTTTATACCACTTATGGACAAGATTTTTTAACATGGCAAAAACTAAACTTTTAAAGTTGATTTAAGTCGAATAAAGTTTAAGTTGATTTTTAAGTCAGTTTAAGTTGACTTTTTAAGTCGAGTTTAAGTCGACTTTTTAAGTTGAGTTTAGGTCGTAAATAGTCGTTCCAGAACTTGACTTTAAACTGAGATTTTATACCACTTTGGACGTGCTTTTTCTCGACTTTTAAACTCAACTTTATAAAGTAGTTTTAGACTAGTATTTCTGTACGCAGGGAAGCTTTAGGTGTGTATTGCAGTCATTTGCTGTAAACTGACCGAAGAAATACAAGGGTTTAGGGAAGAGTTAATGTAAGCTACCGGTATATTTATGACTACATGCATACTTTTTTTAAGAAAAATAAGGATGAATTATGTACATGAATGGCTTTTGTACAGAAATAATTTACCTTGGTTTATGTACATCTAGTGGAGGAGAGGTAGAAAACTGTACAGGCGCAGAAATGTCCTGTACAGTATACCTAATTTAGAATTTAAGTTTTTTTTAATGATAATTTTTTCCTTATTACCCTTTTTAACATTTTTATAATTGTTATTATTATTATCAGTATGAATATTATTAATATAATCTTCATAATTATCATTTTTATCATTATTATAAATATTATTATTATTATTTATATTATCATCATTATTATTATCATCTTTAATTATTAAAGATATTATTATTATCATTATTATTATAGATATTCATTTTGTTCTAGACCTGATTATTATCATTATCCTCTGATAGTGTGCTTGATGAAAATTCAGCCAGATATCTAATAGATTATTATAATAATCAAATAAAATTTTAAAAAAGGATCCTCTCCTGAACAAATCAAAACTTCTTTTAATTTATTTATATTGTCAAAAAACTAAATGCTCGCCTAAACTAAATGTGTCGATCTACTTTTCAAAATTTTTAAGATTTGAAAAAAAGAGTTTTGGGTGGCACAAATTCGGATTTTTAAAATCATATATCTTTTCAACACGATGAACAGCCTTTGATATTTTAAAGTTGATCTAACAGAATTCATAGTTTGAAATATGAAAGGTCTATAACATTGGGTTGAAACTTGCAAAGATCCGGGAATACAAAATTGAAGTTCGTAGCAAAAATTCAGTTAATCGTTTAATTTGCTGAAGTTTTAAAGAAACTATTAATTCGCCACAACTTCTTACTTCTTCTTAACTTGTTGCAACCTACGACTGGGAACAGAAACTTATAATTATTCTAGACTTTAAAAAGGTTTTAAGACAATATTTTGTAGAAGTTTGTTTTTATCAAACATGCAAATTTGTTACGCTAGAAGAAAATGTAAGTAAAAAACAACCGTTTTAAAACAATCGTTTTTTGGGTTTTTAAAACGATAGTTTTTGGTAAAAGCACACTTCTAGATTACAGAATACAATTTTAAATTCTTTCACACCCTTCTAAGATTGTCGTAAAACCTTTAAAGTATAGAAATATTTTAAATTTCTGTAAAACGAATCTAGCTATTTATCTAGCTATTGCCCAATGCTACCTTTGGCATTTAAAACTATAAATTCTCCTAGCCTGGTTTAACATATAGAAAGTTATTTAATAATTTGTGTATTTTTAATTTTCTAAATTTGAAAACTAGAAGAATCAAGTGATCAGTGTTCATTCATGCAAAGTTTAAATAAAATCCAACAAATCCATTTCAAACATAAAACACATTTTTAAAGAAAAAAATCTAAATCTTTTTTCAATTTTTCCTTTTTTTACCTTTGGTATTCTGCCTGCTTAAGAGACTCTAGGGTATCCAGGTCACTTTCTAGAAATCAAATAATTCCAAAAAAAATAATATTGTAGATATTGGCAAGTTGCTTTAATCTCCAATTCTGATGTGGGGGGGGGCACCTAATTTTTATGCTCTATTCTAAATTACTTAGAAACACTTTTTAAAAGTTTCATTTCTTTTAAAACAATTAATCTTTTCTCAGTGTAAATATGTTATTTTTAGGAAAGATCGAGTATTTACTAAGGATTACTCAGTCGGATTTTACGACATTGCATAATCATTGAAACAATCTTGCTCTTTACACTTTACAGGCATTTACTGCATGTACTTTTGGAATTGAGATACTAAATACTTGACTCAGACTATAGTTTTGAATCCTTATATCTTTGCAACCTGAAGACGGGAATTTTTTATATTTCAACCTATAAATTCTCTTAGATTAAATAGGGAAAGTTTAATTTATTGGAAGTGTACATCTTCATGTTGTAAAGATATAAGGATTAGCAAATGAGAATTAAAAAATGTTATATTTTTCTTTTTCTTACTTTTTGCTCATTAATACTTATCCAAGATAATAAAGGCTCCACACTATAGAAAAGGTTTAAGTATTGTCAGATTTAAAAATCTTTGCTCCAAAAATTATTATTTTTAAAGATTTTGGAAGACAATAAATGAATACAAAAAAACTGAGAAATATCAAATTCTTGAGTTTCTTTTGAATTTTTATGACAGAAACAATCTCAAGAACTAAATAGGGTCAACCCGGACTGAAATATATTTTCAAATGATGTGGAAATAACACATATTTTTTGCTGTGAGAGGTTTGGAGTTGAGCTTGGCACTTTACACACTTTTTTCACCGATTCGTTAATTGTTAGAAACAGTCGTTGAAAACAAAATAACTTAGCTAAGAAACTAAATAATTTAGCTAAGAATGAAATAGTCCATCCGTTAAAGGCAATTTCCGTTATTTATTAATTCGATAGCGATTGCAATTTTAGGAATAACGTAAAATTTATTCTCTATTTTCTAAATGCAATTTGAAGTTGAAAAATTAACGAAAGACTCCGTTATTTTTAAACACATCCGTTCGCTATTTTTACAAACTGTTATTTTTTTTGATAACGTTTTTTTTTGGCTTGCTAACAATTTCCAAATTAACGGTTTTTGACGTTCGTTAAGTTTCATAAACTCGCCATTTCTTAACGATACGTTCCCCCGCTGTATTTTCAGTAAATAATACCGTTTAATGTACAGTCGGATATTCATCATTTATATATTTACTTTACATTGTGCACATTTCTTTAAGGCATTTAGGCAGTATGCCTGAGGACTCAGGCATTAAATATAAAAGCCTAGCTTTTGTCCTTAAATGATGGGCATGTGTTAGTTAGAAAAGTCAGAAAATTTGAGCTTCCTAGCTCAAATACTTTTTGAGTTACCTCAAAAAACGATAGGGGGGGGGGTCAAATTAAACCCCCCCCCCCTGCTTAGGGTAAATAGGGTTAAATTTGTTGAAACCTGAGCTAGCATCTGTAAGATCACCCCATTTTCTTTTCTCTGTCACGCCTAGCCCAAACTCCTATTATAAAATATGAATTAAAAAAATTGTACTCTATCATCTTTTTACTACTCTATTTGAATTAGAGCTAAAAAATAATACTGGAAGGTTAAAATTTACAAGGTTTTGTAAAATTTCGTTTAAAAAATAAATTTGTAACAATAATAATTCTTTCAATAATTCTTTTTAAAAAATATTTAAAAAATTACATTTCTAATATTTATCTCTTCTAACTCCTCTTCTGAACTGTGGCTTCCTAAACTTTTCAAAAACGTAAAAAACTAAATTTTTTTTATCAAAAATCTACATATGGCCCCCCCCCCTTTTCCACAAATTAAAGTTTTCCTTATCCCAATGGGTTTGGAACCTGATGTTAACAACCTTTGATGTTTCAAAGAAGTTGAGTCTTTGCCACAAACTCTGATTTTCTACACTCTTTATCTTTTAAAACCCAATGTCGTAGACCTTAATTATTTCAAACTATGAAGTTTGTCAGATAAAATAAACTTAATTTGTAAAGATATAGGGATTAGAAAATCTAAGTTTGTGGCAGACTCAGCTCCTTTAGATTATATTCTAACGGAATTCATAGTTTGAAATATCTAAATATCTTCAAAAGTGGGTTGTCAAAATATAATGATTTAAAAATCAAAGTTTGTGGCAAAGATAAAATAAACTCAATTCCTTTGAAAAATTCTAAATATTCTCCACCAAAATCTAGTTAAATGATAGAAAATGATTGCCAAAAAAAATTATGAAAATTCATGATAGATTTTCACTTTTGCAGAAAGCTTTTTACCAAGACCAAAGATTATGCAATGGGTCATTTCAACAAAAGCTTTTAAAAAACATAAAAATCAACAATTCGGAAATTTGCAAAAAAAACTTTTTAACATATGCAATTTTTCTTTTTTTTATCCTAGTAATAAAATAGGCATTAAAGTAGTAAATAGGCAATAAAGCTTGGTTTTAGGTCTAAAGCCAGTAAAAGTTGGAGAAATTTAAATCATTTTATAGACCAGTACTTTTAAGCTATAAAAACATCTAGGTAGGAAGATCAGTTGGTGTACTAGCTCGTGTTGCCGTATATAGTCTGTAATTGTACTGTACAGCTTGCTATAGCTGATTAAAAATCGGCCCAGTACATGAAATTAACCAGAGTTTAAAGTGCCCCAGCCAGTGCAAGTGAAATAGAGTTTAAATCATATATTGAGTAGATATATCATAGATATAAATATCAAGATGGGGAATTTCGATGACGTAACAGAAATTAATGTACAAATTCTAAATTTCTTCTTAAAGGAACTGTAAGCGTAACTCAAGTGACCTTCTATGCAAAGACGGTAATGCCCGATTTACAACGGTACACCTAAAAAGGCTTGTCTGATCTGCAGTATGAATTAAAAATCAATTTTTTAAAACTGTTTATTTTAATTGGTGGTTTCTCTGCAAAGGTGACTTGCGCATTTCTTGTTCATGAAAAACGATGGAGAAGTTCGCAGAATGATCACTTTTTAAGTCAGTTTTATTTATCAGATTAAGGTTTCACGAATTCTGTTGTAAATCGGGCATCTTTAACTCTGCAATGAGGGTCAATAAAATTTACGCTTACAGTCCCTTTAATAATTCATTTTTGAAGTTTCCCTGATTCACCGTTGTAACGTTTCATTTCGTTTCTACTTTCCTTTCCTTCGTTTTCTATCAGCCTTGCTTCGTTGGGGAAAACGTTTTCTGATTCTTGTGTTGAAAACGTTTTATTTTCCATTCACTCACGATCACTGAAAGTCAAATTTTAAGATTTTTTAAAACCAAATTTTGATTTCGCTGCATTTTTCCCACCTTTTTCCACCTGCTACTTTTAACAATTAGATTAAATAGTGTAATGTCTAAATCTCAATGATACCTTTCTTACAGTCATCTGAGATTGAACAACAATCATGAAGATTGCATTGTTTTATATCAGAGATTTATGATTTCTAATTGTGTTTTTTTTAAGTAACTTGCATAATAATGCTGCAGGAAAAAAGAAAAACCATCATTCGAAACTTCTCTTCTTTAATGTTTCTCAGACTAAGGTGGATAGCTGTAAATATGGGTATCCGTTGATAATCAGACATAAAACTTCAGTGGGGGTTTTATTGAAATCACGTTTTTAATTATTTTTTTCTTTTTTTTCAAAATAATGGTCGTTTGCCAAAAAATAAACCAAGTAAACATTAACATTAACAAATTCGCTTTCCTTGTTATGACTGAGAAATGATTATAACACTATAGCCCTATACAACTGCTGCGAAACTGCTGAATTGAGAAAATGTTCTAAGCTAGCTGAAAATACTAAACGTAAGATTCAGAAATGTTGGGAACTTCTTTAGGGAAAGCTGTAAATGATCGGTAGATACTACTCACATGGAAAAATCCACGAAAAAACATCCAACTTTTCCCACACGTCAATATATAATGTATTTGAAAGTAATTAAAAATCTAAACACTATTAGATTGTATTTGACTCTTACAATCACTCTCAAACAGATTTTTTCTAAACACCTTTAATACTTTTTTTGTCCCCCCCCCCCGTTCTTTCCTCCCCTTTCTCCTGCCTGATTACTGAAATTCCTTTTACGCAAAAAACAGGGGCTTTAAAGAATCAATTTTAGTTTAGCATTTAAAAAAACATTTTTTTTGAAAAGTTTTTAACAGATAGAATACTTTTTACGTTCCCTGTTTTGAACATTATGCTTTTTAGAAAAACTGTCATGTAGGAGCATATATAGGAGTATATGTAGGAGTATATATATAACTTTACAAGACTTTTAGGGCGCTTTGCGCACAACTTCTAGATCCAATTTAGGCGTTTTAAAACTGGCTTTCAAGCGGCCATTTTTTATTTCGTAATTGTAGTACACACAATTTTGCGCATTTTCCTGAAAACATTGGTAGTGTTCTAAAATTGAAAATAAATCGAATTTTTTTTCCGCTGAAGTGAAATTTTTAAAAAAAAAATCATATTTTTTGGAAAAAAAATCTTAGTTAAATTTATATTTTTATCGCTGTGCAATTTAATAATCTGAAAATGTATAGATAACATACATAACAAACACATTAGATAAGATAAGATAAGATAAAGTTTATTGCTAAAATAAATGTATCTGTATAATAGATAGATAGATAGATAGATAGATAGATAGATAGATAGATAGATAGATAGATAGATAGATAGATAGATAGATAGATAGATAGAGATAGATACATTTTGGGGCGGATACAGGATTTAAGTGAGGGGGGGGGCTAGATTAATTTTGGTACAACATTTTTTTTTTACTTTAAAGACTCAAAAAGAGTTAAAACTAATGTCTAAAGTCTAAAAACTAGATTTTAAACTGATCACATATTATACAGTGAAACCCTTAATAACGAATACGTCTAAAGAATTCATCAAATGTCGTATTCTTCACTTTCTGATAATGGAATGTTGCAGATATTTAGTTTTTTAATTAAATGATTATATGGAGCTCTTTAAAACTGTTCCCGCATATTCAATATTCATGGCTATTTATTTATTTTCGCAAATACAGAAATTTACGTAATATAGTATAAAACTCATTGAAAAATTGTCAAGACGACATTTAATAAATTATTTTAACATTGATTTTTTTACGAATTTGAATGTTGCAACTTTATGAATTTGTATGGACACTACGTTATGTATGAGTTGTTTTTAACAATTTTCTCCTTAAAGGGACAGTAAAGGAAAAATGAAAGGGGGTATAGGATGAAAGACGCAATAGATAGAAGTAAGATATACATAGATATTCTTTATTCTGAGAGAGCGGCTAAAACGTCTTAAAACTCTTTATATTCAGATTTTCAGATTCTTATTTTTTTCGAATAAATTGATACACTTCTCTTTGTTATTAGGTTCACAACGCTAATTTTATTTCTGTTGGTCATGCAGCCATCTATATAATGTGGCTCGGGGGGAGAGTCTCAGAGCGCGTATCAACGCGGCTCGCGACTTATAAAAAAAATCTATAAAATCTGATTTACCATTTTGGATGAATGGAAATCCTGACAAGGTTTTTAGAAAACAAATATTGATTTAATATGTTAGAATGGTTGATTTGATTTATTTTCATTTTTATCCACGTCATTTTGGTAACTTTACTTTTAGTTTGTGACGAATTTTTATTCATGTTTTTTTATTCACATTTATACTTGAAAAATGGCTCGGAAGAAAGAATGCGGATATTGTGGCTCAAAGGTCGAAATGGCGTGTAGCTGCTTCTTGTTCTTAAAGGGAGTGTTCGCGAAAAATGAAAGGGGGTATAGGCTTAATGCGATAAAAAAGCGCTTTTGATCGCTAATAATCTTACTTCTATCTGTTGCGTTGCGTTTCCTTTTAATTTTGTCATTGTTGTATGTTACTTTCTAAACGTAGTTTCCTTTTAATAATGTATTTTCCTCCAGGGGGGGCAGTGCCCCGCCTGGAACTCCCAGAGGGGGGCAAGAGGACTACTGTCCCCCCCTACGGTACGTCACTGTGCCTGGCCTGAGGAAGGGAAATGCAAGCAAATGTAATATTAAAAGAGGCCCCCCTCTTACGCCACTGTTGTATGGACGGTGAGTTATTCGGTATGAGACGTCTTTAACAAGTTACTCCATATAGACGCAACAGATAGAAGTAAGATAAGTTGCGATCAAAAGCGTGTTTTTATCGCATTAAGCCTATAACCCATTTCATTTTTCGCGAACACTCCCTTTAATAACCTTTCTTTTAAATTTAATTTAATATTTTGCAGGAAAGAAGAATAATTAATTATAAATTCTTGGCAAAATATTTTCGTAAAAAAACTTTTCGTTTTCAAAATATGGTTTCCTGTGGGTTTAGAGAGTTATATATAAAAACTCAGAAACTGTTCTGATTAGTGCTTTATAGTTAGAGAGTTATACTATACATTATACAGTGGTTCCTATAATACAGTGGAACATTAGTAAAGTGGCGACATATGGGGGGGCATCCCCCTGAAAAATGGGGGGGGGGCTTCAATTATATTTTTTAGAATGGGGAAAAAAATTCGGTTATAATATAAAAATTAACCAAAATTCCAGTTTTTAAAATAATTTAACCTTCAATAAAAATTTCGTAAGTCGCCCCTGGAAAAATGGCAATATATCCTTCAGTTTTGGATATCGTTTATATTGAAAAGTTGATTTCGATATCCGAGGTGTGCATGTTTTATCTATTCACGGATAAACGATTGATCCCTCAATTAAAGTCGGGACCACGCACAGTGAACCAAAAGTTCCAAGCTCTTACTCAAATATCGATGAAAATTTTGCCAATCACTTCTTTAAAACTAAATCTGAAAACAGTGCTTTTATGTTCTAAAATGTTAAATTCTAGGGTCTACTAAGAATTTAAGTTAGTTGGTGAGGTAAATCCAAGGTTTAGAAGTTAAGACACTTTAAAGTCGACCCATTCTTAAAAATTGATTAAACTCTGTATAGCAGTCTGGATCTATGTGCACCGCGTGTAATCTTTGAGCTATTTAATTAATCTGCTGTAAGTCTGCAGATAAAATGGAGATTAATTCTTTATCCCGAGATTAACATCAAACACACTTGTATGCCGAGTCAATTAGCGCCTGATCCAATCAGGATTCAGTCACGTGTTTCTTGTCTATTCTAAACCAATAGAAATAGTATAGCGGTAACATTTATCTATCTAGCTCATTATCCAATTAAAGATATAATTCCTTTGATCGGCGCTAACATTGAACGGAAATATTTACTTCTATAATTGAAACTATAGTGTTTAGTTATTTTTTAATTTTTAAGCATAATATTTGCCGCAAAACGGTGACAACCATGGAATTTCACAAGTGTTAGGTTTTTTCAATCTGAAATGAATGGACACTTACAAAAGTCAACCAACTCAATAAAAAAATCCTCAAATTTCAAGTTTAACACATTCCCGTGGTTTTAAACAGTTCCTCAATCAAAACTTGAGGCAAATCGGCCACGGGGTTCATGAGTTATGACCCGTCATACAAACAGAAAAACAGAGATTACAATTTTATATATAACTTTTGAAAAGTTGCTGATTCAGAATTGCTATCATTGGGTTTCACCTGTAACAATTCCAAATGTAAAATAAAATGTACAAAAAAACCTTGTTAAACCTCTTTTTTTGTAAAAGTCCAGATTTTTAAGATTCTAATAAAATATTTGCTTTATAACAACATCAAATACACACAATTGTTTTTTTAAAATGTCGTTTTTCTATTTCATAGTAAATTAATGGTAAGTGCTTTGGTTTAAATATGTCATATGATAAATAGCTTTTTAAAATATATCTGACTATGCACTTACTTAAATTGAGAATCAAAATTAAAAAGAGTGTAAGCGTAATTTCAAGTGACTCTGCAAGCAATTGCAAGCAATGCAAATTGCCCGATTTACATCAGTACCCTTGAAACCATATTCTGATAAAAAATGTGTAAGATAACATCGTTTTTCCAACTCAAAAAGGGTGTTTAATCAATTAATTTTACAAGGCTTTCTTAATAGCAAAAAATGCCCAAATCTCGTTTCCAGAGAAACCACAAATCAAAATAAACAGTTTTTAAAAACAAAAACCTGGGGTTCTAATTCATCAGACAAAACTTTTTTTAAGGGAACATCGGGCATTTACATTTTTGCATGGAGAGTACCTTGAAAATACGGTTCAGTCCCTTTAAAGCCTTTTCCAAATTCTTTTCATCTGTTAAATATAAAGTACAACATTCTTATGTTTATTGAACCCCCCTGTATGGATCGCTATCTTAAATTTACATTGTTGAAAGTACGTTAGAGTATACACTATACATTAGTTTAGAAGATAGATAGTTAGATCGATGGATAGATAGATAGATAGATATAAAGATAGATAGATAGATAGATAGATAGATAGATAGATAGATAGATAGATAGATAGATAGATAGATAGATAGATAGATAGATAGATAGATAGATAGATAGATAGATAGATAGATAGATAGATAGATAGATAGATAGATAGATAGATAGATAGATAGATAGATAGATAGATAGATAGATAGATAGATAGATAGATAGATAGATAGTTAGATAGATAGATAGATAGACAGATAATGAGATTTTTTCTATCCGAGATTTGTGTGCAAGATTTGTTTTACGCCATTAGTTCTTATGGTATTTTTCTTTAAGAGATTGCAAAATATCTGTATGAGCTTGCCTGCATAATATGTCAATCCTTTTCATTTTAATTAATTAAACTTTGTTTTTCGTATTTCTGAAAAGTTAAAACAAATGAGATGATGAAAAAAAAATTTAATGTTGGGTTAGCAATATCGAACATACTTAAAGCATTTCAAAATTGCGAATATTTAGTTTAAAATTGTAAACAAACTATTTGGAAATTGGATTTATCCTACAGTTTTTTTATATCCCTTTATACAGTTCAAATTTTTGGACAAACAGTTCGTATTTTACAATGGTTTTGGTAACTTCAATTTTCTAACATAATGTTAGGGTGTTCAGTGAGTCTAAGGGGACAGAAAGCGGAATTTAAAGCGATCCTTCATACACAGACGTTAATGCCCTATTCACAAGGATTCACTTGATTAATATTTTGAAAGTTAATATAGTTTTTCTTGGTTGATAAGTGTTTAATTCTGATAATTCCTAAAAATGATCCAGCAGGAGAAATGCGCGAGTCATTTCATTTTTGTTGAATAACCACAACGAATATTCAGTTTTCAAATTTATAAACATTGATATATCATTCATACTTGATCAGACAAAGCTTTTACGACTATCGTTCATGTGAATCGATGAATTGTTATCTTTGCATCAGGAGAGTCAATTGAAACTATGCAAACAGTCCCTTTCAATGTGATTGAAATAATGGCTGAAACTCTGATATTTTGCTTGGTTCCCTTATCACCATAAATATTGTACAGTTTGCCCGTGCACAGAATATTCAATATGTCGATAACAAGGAATAGCCCAGGGGCGTTTTATCCGGGGTGCCGGGGATTTTTGTTGTAAAAATGCAACAATTATCAATTTTATATAATTTTTTGTCAGAAGCGCGGAAAATGTAATGGAAAGCTAATAATAGTAATGATTATAATATGATCAAAAAAAATATTTATCATTAAAAAAACACTTTGTAATTTGCAGACGACTGAAAAGCAATGTTAAAGCAATTTTGTGTTTAAAATAGATAAAATGAAAATCATAACAAGTTAATGTATCACTGCGTAATTTATGTTATTTATGTTTAATCATTGTACGTGTAATGCTGAGTCGTTTTCAGATTTTACAGCTCAATGAGTCTCACTTTCACTGTATTAGGAGTTGGTATATAATTAAACCAATTAAGGTATTGTCTTTCCAACAGAATGAAATCTGAGCCTAGAAAAAAATAAGAATATACCATTCATTTGATCATGGTTAAAATGTTTAAAAGGTACATCATACATGACATTCTACATTAATGTAAGTTCAAAAAGAAATACGTTTAACTTTCTAACAAAATAATAATGGATAAGAGAGTTTTTGATTATGCTCAATTGATAAGTTGCACGATTTGTTATATTTTCTCTTTTTTTCTTTTTATTTTGGAAAATATTTTGATCATCGATTGTTGTTTACGCATCTAACTATTATCAACACTTTTTTCAGAAAATATGTTTTTAGATACCTGTTGTACACTGGAAATAGTAGTTCAAGGAACGTGGAAATAAAAACATCAAATTGTCAAAATACTGAAATTAAGAATATGTATTATAAATTAAACCGCGGTTCAGTCTGTACGAAGTACATCTTGGCCATAGATTAATTAAAATAACAGATATGACATTAGATGTTATTTTAATTTATCTATGCTCTTGGCAAGCTAGAATTTGTCTTAAGGAGGGGGGAGGGGGAGGGGGTAGTCCTCTTAATAATTCCTTGTCACGGTTGTTGTAAAATGTAGAATTTCTGAACAGCATAAAAACGAAGGTTGTGGCGGAAGAAAATTCCTAAATGGGTATTATGAAATTTTTATCTTTTTATTATTTTTGTTATTTTGTATCCACTCCAATGGTTGCCAGGTGTTGGATGTATTGCATTAGTGTTCAGTCTTATTCTTCTCTTCTATGTATTCTGTTTACCAATGAACAGAATAAGACAGGTGTGTAACTAAAAGAGCCTTTAAACGTCAAATTTAATTTATATTTGTTTAATCACGGATCCTTATATTCTGGCTGTTTTTGACACACACTCAAATTTTCTAATACTTATGTCTTTGCGACCCAAGATATTATTTCAAACATTGAATTTTGTTAGATCAAAAATCTAAGTTTGCAATATAAAAGATTTACACCATCAGGCTGCAAAGATATAGGGATTAGAAAATTTAAGTTTGTGGCGAAAACTCCACACTTTGTATATTCTTAATATCTATTGTAGAATCTATTTCTTTAAACCTCAAAAGCGAACCATCTCATTCCACAGCATTACATGTCACTTTTAAACGGAGAATAACACTTGTGAATTACGTTCCAGTTACAAGCGCAACTATAACTTTACAAGAGGATGGGGGGAAGGGGCTGCTGAAGTATTTCATTTATCAAGATTTAAATCCAAAGAAGATTACGTTTAGAAAAGACAAAGCTAGAAAAAAGAACATATATTATACTAAAATCATCTAAATAAAAGTAAGAATAAAAAACCTTCCATAAAATGTATTACTTGAAATATAAAAAGATAAGCCCCATGGGTTTAAATAAGCCATAAGATACATAGCTATCCACTTGGTCAAATTAAAAATCAAACTTTATGGGAGTGTCTCCGAAAAATGAAAGGGGGTATTGGCTTACGTCGAAAAATATTCGATCGTGATCGCTACTAATCATACTTTTATCTGTTGCGTCTATAAGGAGAAAATTGTTAAAAACGGCTCATACCGCGCGAAGAACACGTAGCGTCCATACAAAGTCAGAAAGTTGCAATATTCCAGACGGATCGTAAAAATAATCAATTTAATTCCAAACAATACCTTCTGATATTAAAACCTATCATCATCATTTTTTTCGATGCAATCGTATACAGTTGACATTTCATTTTTTTACTTGTATGGTATACGAGGCTCTTTAAACGACGATTTTTTGTCGCTAGGTGTCGTTGGGGTCTCTTCCACGTGGAATTCCTAGAAGCATCGAGAGCAGAGGCAATCTAGCGGCCAAATAATCTTCCTTTAAAGGATACTGTATATGATAAAAAAAAAATATTATGAAATATCAACTATATACGAATGGTTAAAAAATCGATGACTATAGGTGTCTTTGTGATTTTTTGATTTTTTTACTATCCGAGTTGAACTTTCTGAATTTGTATGGAAGCTTCGTTCTTAGGTATGAGTCGTTTTTAACAATTCTTCAAAATCACCAACGAATATTTTTCGACGTAAGCCATACCCTTTTCATTTTTTTGCGAACACTCCCTTTAAAGCGTAATTTGTTACCATTGATAAGATTTTTTAGCAGAGACATGAAGTAGGCTGGTTAAGTAAAATAAGGCATATTGGCAGTATGCCTGAGGTATCATGCAGTATGTATAGAAGTTAAGCTTTCAGCCTAAAGTTAGGAGCAGATATAATGTAGAAAAGTAAAAAAAAACTTTCTACAACCTCAGACTTTTTTAGGTAACACGAAAAACTAAAAAATTGGCTTTGAAATTATTCTAAAAAAATAATTCTTTCATTTACGTTCTATTATTATGTCTCAAAAGTGGCAAATTTAACTGTAAAGAAAAAAAAATTAAAGTCTGATGTCCAGAAAAGGGTTTTCAATTCCTTGTTTTCAAGAATGTTGAAAATTGAAAATTCAGAGGAAAATTTTCAAAAAAAAATAATTTTTTTTCGGTTATAACCTTTAATAACCTGCAAAGAGGGAACTAATTATAAAAATATTTTTTTAATTTGGTTGAGCCATTTGTTTGATATGGAGGCGCAAACATTGAAAAAAAATTGTCATGATTCTAATTCAAAAGTTACATTAAAAAAATCAATTTTTTTTTATTAAGATCGCGAAATAAAGATAGCACCCATATTTTTGTAAAGCATATGAATTTTTACTTTCTAGTCAAAACAGTTTAAAAGTTAAAGTACTGATGTCCATGATATCTGCTTTTTAAACCACTGTGCCCCAGTAGAAAAAGGGTTAAGAAATTTGAAAAACAAAAATAACCACATCCCCCCACACACCAAACCTGTCCTCTCAGTTTTTTTACAAGTTTAGAGCGACTGCATAGTCTTAATTCAAATCTTTTCTAAATAGTGGCATGTCGTATTTACATTGGTACTCTTTAAATTTACCTTTATCTGAGTAATAATGAGGAAGATATATCTAGTTGTTTTTCTAATTTAAAAGTGTTAAATTTAGATAATTTCCTTGAAGTTTAAAGTTAAAAAAGAAAATATTCAGGTTGAAGAGGTTGGATTCACACATTTGAAGCACGGTCAATTTTTCAAGAAAAATATCAAAATTGCTCGTAAACTTAGGTAATATAAAATAAAAATAAAGCTTACGTTACGACTAGCTGATCCCTTTTTCTTCCTATAGTTCAAAATTATATGATCAACAATAAAAATATTCCACGAATTTTTGCTGTTTTTATTTGCGAATTTTCAGAATTTTTTAATATTTCAAGAAACAATCAATAATATGTATTATTTAGGAAAACTGGAAGTTCTTCAAAAATCTTTCCTAACGGGTGGTATGTTGTCTTAGGTAAACCTAAATATCTTTAATAGAAGGGAAACGTTTCTTTGTAAAAATTCTTTCAAGACGGTAAAATAAGGCCACCCCTTTATATCAAAGACAATTGCAAATAAAATCCACAACTTATAAATTTCAAGGTAGAAAAACCAAAATGGTTTCCTTATTTTTGCTTGGAAATAACTCTTTAATCCATTCCAAAAGACAACATGATGAAACTTGAAATGCGTAAAAATGTATTGGATTATTAGATGAGACAACATTTGTTACTTTCTTTGGCTCATTAAAAAATGCGTAGAATTTGCGTAAATTTTCTGATGCGCTTTCCTTAATTAGCTTGAAGTCTTTGCTTTATATTAACAAACGGGATTTATACCAACAGTGTTATCACACAATTTTTGACAGCGAAGAGAATTTGTGGTTTTCTACAGAATTTTCGCTGTCTCTGGTTGATAACAAATTCTCATTGATATTTTTATTAGCCTACGTACATATACATGATTTGCTTAAAGATAGAATATAATAAGATATCAGAGCTATATATTTAAAATAATAAGATATCAGAAATATATATTTAAAATAATAAGATATCAGAAATATACATTTAAAATAATAAGATATCAGAGATATACAATAAAAATAATAAGATATCAGAGCTATATATTTAAAATAATAAGATATCAGAGCTATATATTTAAAATAATAAGATATCTGAGCTGTATATTTAAAATAATAAGATATCAGAGCTATATATTTAAAATAATAAGATATCAGAATATATATTTAAAATAATAAGATATCA